TTTTTTAAGGGGTCAGTGAAAAAAGGTGGGGGGGGGAGGGGGGGGGGGGGGGGGCATGATATGTTAGCAGACGGAGAGAAAGTTACGGGCTGTGCCAACGCCAAATAATAGCAGTACTTGGGTGGGGTGGGGGTAAGAATTCAAGGCGTTGGTGAACACAAATCGGGTTTGAGTCCCTGGTGTAGGTCACATGCCATACCGGTACTAGGAAACAGGGTTTGATTGCGCTATATGGAGATCACCATGTTCCCGCAATATAGTATAGTATATTATAGCTTAATGTTATAGTATATTATAGCTTAATGTTATAGTATATTAAAGCGTAATAGTGTAGAATATTATAGCATAATAGTATAGTATATTATAGCATAATACTATAGTATAGTAATGTATAGTTAGTATGGCATAGTATAGTGTAATGTAGTACTGTTGTGTTACTTGTGTAGGTATGTGATATAGATTGTATGATGTATATTCTAAATTAATATAAGTTATTGAAGTGTTGCGGAAGTCGCTAAGATTGATCAGCCTACTGTATGAGAGCAACTACGACCAGGCACAACAGCGTATGTTTCAGTAATGAATTAGTGTGCGTTTTGTAAGGTCAGTAGACAAAGATTAGAAAATTATTGTGTTCACGAAAAGGCATTTGATCATAAACTTTAAAATGAATTTTTTTCTCGGTATTTTGTTATCCCATACAGTCCATCCTGGTCTCCCCTGTTATCAACTTTTATTCCACGGCTATTCTTCAATCACTTCCATTTTTCCCGAGATCGGTGTGAGATTTCACTTTCATATCATGACTATCTACACTGATCCCTGTAGGCTATAGCCCCCTCTCCTATCTGTTCAAAACCTTTTGCGCTAACTATTAATAGTGTTATAGCCGTGTGAATAGCTGAATGGAACGATAAAGTATTTTGGCTATAATCTCTGTTCTTGTTTGTTAAGCATTACCCCGTTGATCCGTTGATCCCACTCAGGGATCAAATGTGAGAGCAAACCACTTGAAGTGGTCGAAATATTCTTAAGTTACTGTCAGTGGTAGCAGAGTCGTATTACGCAGTGATTCTCAAACTATAAACAAACATGCCTGATTATGGATTTTTTAATTTAAAAAAACAAAAATAAAAAAGTTGGTGCCCCCTCCCCCACCCACCTGTTTATTTGTCAGATAAATAGTGTGAGATCAGCACCGCCTGGAAAAATGACCTTTGACCTCTGCTCTATCAGCAAGAATCGATTTTGTGTTTTCAAAAGGTAACAGTTTTGACTATTTTTTTTCCAAATTCGTCGACAATCACCAGCGTGTATAACATCATATTACATACAGGTACTCGTATTACAACAACGTCAGGGAGACGCTTACAGCGGTGTTTGTAGTGTAGGCAAATGTTTAGGGCGGTGTTTGTAGTGTCGGAAAAGGTTTAGGGCGGTGTTTGTAGTGTCGGCAAATGTTTAGGGCGGTGTTTGTAGTGTAGGCAAATGTTCAGAGCGGTGTTTGTAGTGTAGGCAAATGTTTAGGGCGGTGTTTGTAGTGTAGGCAAATGTTCAGGGCGGTGTTTGTAGTGTAGGCAAATGTTCAGGGCGGTGTTGGTAGTGTAGGCAAATGTTTAGGGTGGTGTTTGTAGTGTAGGCAAAAGTTTAGAGCGGTGTTTGTAGTGTAGGCAAATGTTTAGAGCGGTGTTTGCAGTGTAGGAAAATGTTTAGGGCGGTGTTTGTAGTGTAGGCAAATGTTTAGGGCGGTGTTTGTAGTGTAGGCAAATGTTTAGGGCGGTGTTTGTAGTGTAGGCAAATGTTTAGGGCGGTGTTTGTAGTGTAGGCAAATGTTTAGGGTGGTGTTTGTAGTGTAGGCAAATGTTTAGGGCGGTGTTTGTAGTGTAGGCAAATGTTTAGGGCGGTGTTTGTAGTGTATGCAAATGTTTAGGGCGGTGTTTGTAGTGTAGGCAAATGTTCAGAGCGGTGTTTGTAGTGTAGGCAAATGTTCAGAGCGATGTTTGTAGTGTAGGCAAATGTTCAGAGCGGTGTTTGTAATGTAGGAAAATGTTCAGAGCGGTGTTTGTAGTGTAGGCAAATGTTCAGAGCGGTGTTTGTAGTGTAGGCAAATGTTTAGGGCGGTGTTTGTAGTGTAGGAAAAAGTTTCAGAGCGGTGTTTGTAGTGTAGGCAAACGATTGCATGCGGCTCAGCGACCTGAGTGCGGCTTGGTCAGTCGGCCACAAATCGGTTTTGACTCCGAAAAAACATGGTTCTTGACAGGTTCTTGAAAAGAAATTTGTCTCTCAAAATTGTTGTTATCCTCCTGCTGCTGATTTTTTGGTCTTTTGACTGATGAGTTTGCCAACCACTGACCACTGACCACTAACCTGGGTCATAAACTCATGACCTAATCCGCAGTTTTTTCCCTTGTACAAATGTGTAGGATTATACTTCAAAGGGGCGCCATAGTTCAGCTTGCCCGGGGCGCCAGCAGCAGTAGGGGCGGCCCTGAGAGTTAATGATGCTATGTGTTTAATATGGAGATGGTCGATCATTTCAACATGTAGATGCCGACTACTAGGCATATAGTCTGGGATTTTTAAGGAGTCCAAGGTCGACAAACCGAGGGGAGAGAGTGAATGGTGGATGCTGAGAGAGTGAATGGTGGATGCTGAGAGAGTGAATGGCCGATGTTCAGAGAGTGAATGGCCGATGCTCAGAGAGTGAATGGTCGATGCTCAGAGAGTGAATGGTCGATGCTCAGAGAGTGAATGGTCGATGGTCAGAGAGTGAATGGTCGATGCTCAGAGAGTGAATGGCTGATGCTCAGAGAGCGAATGGTCGATGTTCAGAGAGTGAATGGTCGATGTTCAGAGAGTGAATGGTCAATGTTCAGAGAGTGAATGGTCGATGTTCAGAGAGTGAATGGTCGATGTTCAGAGAGTGAATGGTCGATGCTCAGAGAGTGAATGGTCGATGTTCAGAGAGTGAATGGCCGATGCTCAGAGAGTGAATGGTCGATGTTCAGAGAGTGAATGGTCGATGTTCAGAGAGTGAATGGTCGATGTTCAGAGAGTGAATGGTCGATGCTCAGAGAGTGAATGGTTGATGCTCAGAGAGTGAATGGTCGATGCTCAGAGAGTGAATGGTCGATGCTCAGAGAGTGAATGGTCGATGCTCAGAGAGTGAATGGTCGATGCTCAGAGAGTGAATGGTCGATGCTCAGAGAGTGAATGGTCGATGCTCAGAGAGTGAATGGCCGATGCAGAGAGAATGGAGGAAGAGGACGCTAGAATAGAGAGTGCTTGTGGCGCGGTGTTGATTGTTTAAGTTTGTTAAAAACTGTGTGGACGAAGAATAAAACAAATTCCAGAACAAGGTACGGCTACGACGTCAACTCTTTCAGATTATAAGGTAGCGAATAAACTTGGGAATGTTTGCTAGCCTAAATAGTAATTGATTTTACATGGAACCTGGGGCGTAGGAAGGGGGTGTGTAAGGGACGGCCCGCCCCAGGTGGCACTTTTTCCTTGTATTGAGGGGTGGCATTTTCGACGAACTTCAGGGTTTTTCTCGGGCTAGGGGTCGACAAAAGGTTGACCCAAGACACATTACCTAGCCCGCTGCTCCTGGTGGATGAAACAATCCTAGCTACGCCCCTGCACTAAACACTAATAACACGCTGCCCCTGGGCCCGTCTGTTAGCCGATCATTGAAGTGTTTAGGTGACGTCATTGGACTTTTCCAAACCCATACCTGTGTATTTTCTATCCTGTCCTTTTTTTATTGTAATCGTTTGAGAACCGCTGTCGTAGAACCGTCTGTTGGTCGTTCTTGGTCTCTCTTGGAGTGTTTTGGCAACATTAGGGGCCGCTCTAACCACATACCCGTGTGTTTACTGTCTGTCATTTTGATGGTAATCTACTCCATCTTCTATTCCCGGACAGACATATGTCTGCGTTTGCTTGGTGAGCTACTTTTAAACGCGGTCCGGTCTCCTGTTCAATGCGGTGATCTTTCAGTTCCAGACTTAAGGCAACATTCTGGAGACCAAAACATCAACATTGTTGTTGCAGGCGTGCTGGATGTGGCAGGATTTTATGTCGTATTGTTGGTCGATGTCTGCTGGATGCCGCACGCCGTACGGATGGCAGACAACAACGGTTCATGTTAAATTGTGATGGCATTGGACGTAACGTAAATTTTATGTTAAATTGTGATAGCATGGGGTGCAAAGTTTTTAAATTGTGATAGCATGGGGCGCAAAGTTTTAAATTGTGATAGCATGGGGCGCAAAGTTTTTAATTGTGATAGCATGGGGCGCAAAGTTTTTAATTGTGATAGCATGGGGCGCAAAGTTTTTAATTGTGATAGCATGGGGCGCAAAGTTTTTAATTGTGATAGCATGGGGCGCAAAGTTTTTAAAATGTGACTTAAGTTTATTTAATCGGGACGTAAGGTTTATTTAATTGTGATAGGTTATGACGTAAAGTTTATTTAATTGTGACATAAATTTATTGTGATAGGCTGTTACGTAAGTTTATTAAATTGTCACGTAAAGTTAATTGAATTGTGAAATAAAGTTTATTACATTGTGACGTAAAGTTTCTCAAATTGTGATAGGATGTGACGTAAAGTTAATTGTTCAAATGCTGTGATATAGAACGCAATGACATTCACGGCGGTGTTAATATGACGGCATTGACCTCTAGCTCTAGCTCAGTCGCCATGATTTAATGTCGTGAAGTTACCGGCCTTGCCCAGAGTTTTGTTTCCTGACGATCATCTGTCTCCAAAGATAACTTCGTTTATTATTTGATGCTATTTTGTGAGATAAGTGGATATCAGTGGAGAACTTAGAATTTTGGCCGCCCCTAATAACGACAACCACAAAGCATACATAAAACAAATAGAATCAAAGCTATATAAAGTATATTATGGAGTAGACTGAAAAGACCACCCCCCAAAAAAATAAGCGCATCTTCCTATTCCCGTGCACACCATCAACCTTTTTAGGAAAAGATGAGATAAGATTCTTTTATTGACACAAATAAATGTTTATTTTTTTATTACACCGTACGTATTCATTTTCAGCACATAAATAAACACCTATTTTAACCTAGAAATTATTTTATAATTATAATAATTAAAAGACAAAACAAGTTAAGTATTTCTCTAGCTTTGAAATCAGCCATAACTGAACTCCTTTAGTGACAATAATGACGTAATTAGGTTATCATTTAGATTAGGTAACCACGGGAAAGGAGGGAGGCACGCTGCTAAAATCGTTTAAAAAGAAGAGTTGGACCAATGAATATTGTAGCGATTTTCGTCTCGTTCTGCCTTTGTTCTCTATTTCGTTGTGGTGATGATAACACTTGCTTACTGTCACTCTATTTCGTTGTGTGGATGATACCCCTTGCTTACTGTCACTCTATTTCGTTGTGTGGATGATACCCCTTGCTTACTGTCACTCGTAATTCAACATACAAGTCACTCAAAATTCGATGACGATGGTTGCAGTCTTTGACCTTTTATTTATCTTCTACATCGAATTCACTCTCCCTCTATCTCTCTTGCTCTCTCTCTCTCCCTCCCTCCCTCTCTCTCTCTCTCTCTCTCTCTCTCTCTCTCTCTCTCTCTCTCTCTCTCTCTCTCTCCCCTCTCCCTCTCCCTCTGTTCCTCTCTCTACTCTCTCCCTCCACGCCGCTCTCCCTCTCTTATCTCTCTCTCTCTCTCTCTCTCCCTCCCTCCCTCTCTCTCTCTCTCTCTCTCTCTCTCTCTCTCTCTCTCTCTCTCTCTCTCTCTCTCGCACTCAGCTCCGACTGTACCGGTTCGTCTCTCTCTTTCGTTATGGGTTTCGCTCGTCTGTCCTCTACTCCTGTCCGGCGGAGTTGTCCCTCCCGACTGTCCACTTTCCTGTCCGGCTGAGTTTTACCTAGTCCCGTCTAACGGTCCCCTTTTTGTAAGTCCTCGGATTCGGTCGTCGCGTCTCTAGAGATTCCTTCCTCGGGCTATCCTATTTGGACATCTTTGTACTTAAAATATTTCCACTGCCCCCTTCTGTTTCAATGGACATCAACCAGCCACGACTAGTCACACAGGACTTTGTATCTCTATTTCTACATCTCAAGTACTAACAATTTTTTCCCTCCGTCTTAATGGTCATCAACTAGCCGTAACGGTCGATGTTATGTAGCACAATTTCTTGTGCGTGAACTTTCCTCGACCTCACAGGACACTCCTAGCAGACACTAACGTCTGTTGTGGGCGTGGCTAAATCTCTTTGAAGTATCTTGTTTACAATCGGCTTCCAAATACGCATTGGGTATAATGTCTCCAGGTACCTTCTGGAATGTACTCCTTAACCCGAGATATGTAAACAACACGTCATAAGCCCTTCTGGAAGCGTCTTACTCTACATGTATATAAAGGATTGACAGATACGAAGGGAGGGAGATTTCAGATAGATTTTCTTAACATTACGTGGCGTGTTTTATTCTTTGTGTATTTGTGTGCTCATATATGTTTATTTCGCATTATTTATTGGCACATTATTCTAACTGTGTTAACTGTGTACCGGTACAAGATCTACCATACTGTAAGTTGAAGATTGTAATTATATTTTTCTTTTGTAATTATCTTAAGACATAATAAATCTTATTAATTGTAACTAGAAACTGTTTTGGGTCGTATCCTTAATATTGTTGATTCTATGGTATCGTCCTTTGTTATGCACTGCTTACAACGAGCCAATTAAAATTAAAATAGGAGATTAATTTCTCCCAATACAAGTCAGTGCATAACAGTCGACCCGGTGCAATCTGACACCCTGCGACAGTTGTGGACGGCGCCTGTCTGTCCTACCCAAGTTCCCCCACCCTCGGTTTGCCTGGACACAGAGGCGTAGCGAGGGTGTTTGGCGCCCGGGGACAAGATTCGCGCCCGGGGACAAGATCCATTTTAAAGCGCCCCTTTTTCTTTTTTTCAACTCTCAAACCCATTATTTTCATCAATAAAATAACATCAAAGCACATTTTGGCGCCCCATCTCGCAGGCGCCCGGGGACATCTGTCCCCCCGCCCCCTCACTACGCCTCTGTCTGGACATCCCTCATTAACTGACCACCCGCCTCTACATGCCAATGTCTTGATTTATTATACTGAATCACCGTCAAGGTCGCTGGACTCTCTACAATGTCACATAGCCCGCTGCCCCTGGCTGACGAAACCTCCGAAACATCACAAACTTGAGCGAGTCTTTCCATTATTAATTTCATCAGTAATTTAATACTGCTACAAACTGCTAGCTGCAAGAAATTTAAAAGATGTCCACTTCTCTGGGTTGAAGTTGTCAGAAAATGCCAGCAGTCTACTCGGCAGCTTTCTGTGCAGCATGACGTCAGAGATCACATGTTGCCAGGTGTGACGTTGAAATGTTTCGTTGTATACAGTGACATGATTAATCATTATGTTATTTATTTGACATATTATGTTATTTTACCTGTTTTGCTATTTCAGAATTCAGACTTGCTGAGCGCCGGTGAGCACATTTTTAGAATAAGGAAAACAAGACCAAAATTATTTTTAATGAAACAAACTGTCGAGCTTTACAAGTCAAGCTTTGCAAGCCATGCTTTACTGCTTCGAGTTTCACTGATCATGAGTCATTGAAAAAACAACCACATAAATCTTCGAGGTTTTGTTCAGTTTTCTTTTTTTTTAAGAAGAGATTTTTGTTAAATTTCTGTTTTTAAAAAAATCAAAACATTTTTCTAACTGAAATCAAGTTCCCCATGGCGGCAACAACATCGAAAAATGCCTCATTTCCGGTAACGACCATTGAGTACCCGGCCTTGGCGCTCGTGTCCGAGTTTTTACGAGAGTCAGATGACGTGGTGAGATGCAACAAGAGCAGAAGTCATCCGTCACAACTCGAGCCGTATCACGAGAGTTTGGAGGTCACGTTCCCACAGATCAGCGCCACCAAATCGACGTCGTCCCTGACAGCTCCGGTCCCTGTCAGTGGATACGGTCAGACCAGTGCCGGGAAACACCAAACAAAGAATGAAGCTGAAATCGCCGATGATCTCATCTTTCACACTAGGCGGGGATCCCTGGGCAACAACGGCTTTACGTCACTCACCGGATGTGGGGGTCAAGGTCCCGGAAAGCGACGAGGTTCAATAACAGACTCGATAGACAGGTGAGATAAAAGCAAATAACAAGGTTAAGTGTTTTCTTGTCCAGCCAAAGTTATGTGTGGTTTTGTCCAGCCAGAGCAAAAATTATGTGTTTTCTATTCCAGCCAAATTGTGTGTATTCTTGTCCAGTACAAGTTAGGTTTGGTCTTGTCCAGCCAAAGCTAGACTTGGTCTAGTCCAGCCAAAGTTAGGTGTGGTCTTGCCCAGTCAAGGTTATATATGGTCTAATCCAGCCAGAGTTAGGCGTGGTCTAGTCTAGCCAGAGTTAGGCGTGGTCTAGTCCATTTAAAGGTTAATGGGGTTAGATCTCAACTTAGACATATTTTCCTTTTAAATTAAACGTTGTTAGGTATTGGAATTATTATTCTGGAACTTGGAGAGTTTCAGAAGTTTGGTCGTGTCAGAGTACATTTGGGCACTGGCCCAGTATTTAGTCGTGTCAGAGTACGTTTGGGCACTGGCCCAGTATTTGGTCGTGTCAGAGTACGTTTGGGCACTGGTCCAGTATTTGGTCGTGTCAGAGTACGTTTGGGCACTGGCCCAGTATTTGGTCGTGTCAGAGTACATATGGGCACTGGCCCATTATTTGGTCGTGTCAGAGTACGTTTGGGCACTGGCCCAGTATTTGGTCGTGTCAGAGTACGTATGGGCACTGGCCCAGTATTTGGTCGTGTCAGAGTACGTTTGGGCACTGGCCCAGTATTTGGTCGTGTCAGAGTACATATGGGCACTGGCCCAGTATTTGGTCGTGTCAGAGTACGTTTGGGCACTGGCCCAGTATTTGGTCGTGTCAGAGTACGTTTGGGCACTGGCCCAGTATTTGGTCGTGTCAGAGTACGTTTGGGCACTGGCCCAGTATTTGGTCGTGTCAGAGTACGTTTGGGCACTGGCCCAGTATTTGGTCGTGTCAGAGTACGTGTGGGCACTGGCCCAGTATTTGGTCGTGTCAGAGTACGTTTGGGCACTGGCCCAGTATTTGGTCGTGTCAGAGTACGTTTGGGCACTGGCCCAGTATTTGGTCGTGTCAGAGTACGTGTGGGTACAAGCCCAAAATTTTCTATTTGTGTAACATTTCCCCGCCCTACTACAAAATGATTTGTATCTAAGTAACTTTGAGACTTTTTAGTTTTTACGTGAACCTCTAACGCCAGTAAATAATGAGAGAAATGTTACACCCCTACCCAACGACTCCAACATCCCCCCCCCCGAATCATCTACGTCTCGCTCGGGTTAGACAACATTGTCGTAACTCCACAGAGCCACTGAATATTCCTAAATTTAAACGTTAAAAGTCCAATAAACTTTGAAGAAACAAGGTTAACACAGAGATAATATTTGCGTTTCAGAGAATTACGCAGCATGTACAAAAACAGTGTGGAGGAGCGACGCTTGGTGAGTGCGTGCAACGAGCTGGACAGACAATCGTTGTCAGAGTCAGTGGAGCACAGACACAGGAAAATACAGGTGACACCCAGTACATTTGACAGTTTTTTAGGGGACATTGAGTACATTTTACAGGTGACACCGAGTACATTTTACAGGTGGCTCTGAGTACATTTTACAGGTAGCACCGAGTACATTTTTCAGGTAGCACTGAGTACATTTTACAGGTGGCTCTGAGTACATTTTACAGGTACACTGAGTATAGTTTACAGGTGGCATTGAGTACATTTTACAGGTGGCATTGAGTACATTTTACAGGTGGCACTGAGTACATTTTACAGGTGGCACTGAGTACATTTTACAGGTGGCTCTGAGTACATATTACAGGTAGCACTGAGCACATTTTACAGGTGGCTCTGAGTACATTTTACAGGTAGCACTGAGTACAGTTTACAAGTGGCACTGAGTACATTTTACATGTGGGATTGAGTACATTTTACAGGTGGCATTGAGTACATTTTACAGGTGACATTGAGTACATTTTACAAGTGACACCGAGTACATTTTACAGGTGGCACTGAGTACATTTTACAGGTGACACCGACTATTTTACAGGTGACACCAAGTACAATTTACTCAGTAAAGTATAAACTATGAACTCAGCTTCTTGATGACGTCTCCACGACCCACCAACCCGTAACTACTAACCACCAACCATTAACCCATAAGCACCATCTCTGGCATGGTTTTAAAATACCAGTTAAACTGACCCTTATAGTATAGGATAAAAACCTACTTTCTCCTACTCCTAGGTTATAAGCAGGGACATCATTTGTGTATTGCAAAAAAAAAAGGGGGGGGGGGCATTTGGGGAGGGGGGAATACCAGTTAAACTGACCCTTATAGTATAGGATAAAAACCTACTTTCTCCTACTCCTAGGTTATAAGCAGGGACATCATTTGTGTATTGCAAAAAAAAAAGGGGGGGGGGGCATTTGCGTAGGGGGGATGTAGGTAGACTACATCCTCGCGGTATTCAGAGTTTGTCACTATCGGATGAACGGAGTGATCTAGCGGGTAAATAAGGCGTCATGGGCGCTTTGAGATAGGACGGCGCCAGGTCAAGCAAGTAGCGTAGCACAGAGGTGTAATTTTGTACACTATGCGAGCGCGGACCGGCAGCCAATGCAGCTCTCTCAGAAGTGTTTTAGCATGGTCATATTTGCGTTTGCGCAGAACAATGCAGCCGCATCTAGGAGCGTAGCCGGAAGACCCACCATGAGAGCATTGCAGTAGTCCATGCGTGATAGCACCTGAAAGTAAATGAGGTGCCACATAGTTTCACCTTATCACCACATGAAAGTATCGGTACACGAGGTGCCACATATTTTTACCTTATCACATGAAAGTACAGGTACATGAGGTGCCACATAGTTTCACCTTATCATCGCCTGAAAGTACCGGTACATGAGGTGCCACATAGTTTTACCTTATCATCACCTGAAAGTACACGACGTTCCACATATTTTTACATTATCATCACCTGAAAGTACCAGGACATGAGGTGCCACATAGTTTTACCTTATCATCACCTGAAAGTACCGGTACATGAGGCACCACATATTTTTACCTTATCATCATCTGAAAGTACACGAGGTGCCACATAGTTTCCCCTTATCATCACCTGAAAGTACCGGTACATGAGGTGCCACATATTTTTACCTTATCATCACCTGAAAGTACAAGAGGTGCCACATAGTTTCACCTTATCATCACCTGAAAGTACATGCGTATTTTAAGGGTATGGTCAATGTTCCCTCTAAGGTTTGCTGGTTCGTGTGCAAAGTTTAACAGCATCAATTTTTGTGTGTGCAAAATTTTACAGCCCACAAACATAAGCACACACTTATATGGAAATTTGCTGCGCGTCTGTTGGATAGACGCCGCGCAGCTTAAAGGGAACATTGGGTATGGTATAACTGATTGATGCTCATCCAAATAACATAAATTCTCACTTACATATCTTCTGTTGCACTGTGCACACCCATTAAGTGTGCAGTGTGGTGCACTGTGCACACCCATTAAGTGTGCAGTGTGGTGCACAGCTAAATTCAGGTATGCGCCAGAAATTACCCCTGCATCTTGAAACAATCAACACATTTCTGTATAGGGGCTCATTCTGTTTCCCGCCCATTTTTCTTCCTCGGTCACTTTCATTGGATTTCCTCTAAGAGTTTGAGTGCTGGTTTCTGGTTTTAATGTGTTTGCAAATATCGGGAATAGGTGCTGGACAAACTTCAATAACTGCCCTCAAATTTTCCTCAACCATTAAACTCAAACCCCCAACTACCGCGCACGCGAATAAATTTTGTTCAAAATTCACACCACTTCAAAATGAATCATTATAAATCACATACTATAATATAAGTTAAAAGTATAAGGACGTATTTAATGTTTGTTACATTTTCAAATCCTTTTTCAGATTTTCAAAGAGTACAAAAATTTGATCAAGCGATTGCCCAGTGCCGATGAATGGTTGAGCCGACGGAAGTCTCGCACCGGGATGTGGAAGGAACGAGAACGCGAAGACATTGCCAAGAGGTACAGCAGGCGATCACGTCATTTCCGGGCGCCGAATGAACTGAAGGACACTGTCGATAAAATAAGATCATTCGTCGCGTCAGAGCCCGGGGCCCCCCACATTTCTGGGCCGGAACTCAACGACTCTAGTGATGACGACGTTGAAGGTCTGCACGTCAAAATGTCCTCGCTGAACATGGCACGTCGCTTCACGATTTCGTCCTTGAACTTGAACGCGCCCGCCTCGGAGCTGAAGAAATTGAGCAACGGTCCGGCGACCGGCAAGAACCGACGAATGACGGTGGGTGATATTGACATGATATCAGGAGTTCTCAAACTGAGGTCGATGTTTAAAACGAGAGTTTATCTGGATGACCTGAGTGCTGCTCGAAATAAATATGTGGACGGAGGTCAGGAAGAAGTGCAGGGGACCAGGGGGGATGAGCCTATTTCGTTAATAAAGAGAGACGAAGAATGCTAAATTCAACATTATCGATAAATGTATAGAAGGCCGGATAGTGGAGAGGCGTAGCTAAGGAGGTGGAGAGGGGACGGATGTTCCCGGGAGCCAGACTAATTGGGGCGCCAAAATAGACTGGTGGTATTTTATCGATGAAAATAGTGGATTTCAGAGTTGAGGGTGCGTAAAAATGAATCGTGTCCCCGAGTGCCAAACACACTAGATACGACCCTGGTATATTGCATTTTACTTTTACAAAAAGAATAATCAATGTGGTATTTATTTTTAATGTAAATCACTAACATGCATTTAATAACTTTAATTAACTTTTTAGATAGCGTAACTAAAAGGGTACGATTTGCAATTAGATTTATAGATAATGATTATTGTTTCTCCATATAAACTGCGCAGGGAATTAGATACAGCATGATCGGGTTATGTATGGGCAGTGGTAGATCCAAAAAGAAGTAAGATTATTTTGTAAAATTTATTGAGTACCCGGTATTCCTTTTGATATGTGACCGTAATTAAAATAGTGTTTTTCCCCTTCTCATTTTAATAGTTTTTCTTAACGTTGACTGTCATTAAATAAATATTGAAATGTTAAAAAGCTTAAACTTAAAAAAGATAATGACAATAATGTTAAATGTTTTTTTTAGTTATTTGTATTTTTTTTCACTGCGTGCTGTCTTTATAAAGTTATCGGTACTCTAAAACTGAGCTGCTCAAACTACTTACTACAAATGTAGGTTATCAGTAACACTTGGATGAAACTTTAATTAAAGTTTAATTTGTTAGAGGCCCACCAAGTGCGAGTTTGACCATTCGAAGAGGAAACACTTAGTTCTCTTCTTGTACCCCATGGAGCAGCGTAATGCACAAGTAGTGAAAGATGCTCCTCTGAGAACTGCTGCTCTAAATAGTATTTACCTACATCAATAACTGTAATTGCCATGAGCAGGGTTCCACTTTAAAAATTATTTACGGAAAAAAAATTAAAATTAACGTACGAAGCATGTATTATGCATATCCGTGTCAGGTCAATACAGTACAGTATTAATGAATTTGGGAAATGGGATGTCTGTATATTGTATTTGGCTTCACGTTTGAGGCTTGTCACCCATAAGGCTTGGGTATTAATGAATTTGGGAAATGGGATGTCTGTATATTGCATTTGGCTTCACGTTTGAGGCTTGTCACCCATAAGGCTTGGGTATTAATGAATTTGGGAAATGGGATGTCTGTATATTGTATTTGGCTTCACGTTTGAGGCTTGTCACCCATAAGGCTTGGGTATTAATGAATTTGGGAAATGGGATGTCTGTATATTGTATTTGGCTTCACGTTTGAGGCTTGTCACCCATAAGGCTTGGGTATTAATGAATTTGGGAAATGGGATGTCTGTATATTGCATTTGGCTTCACGTTTGAGGCTTGTCACCCATAAGGCTTGGGTATTAATGAATTTGGGAAATGGGATGTCTGTATATTGTATTTGGCTTCACGTTTGAGGCTTGTCACCCATAAGGCTTGGGTATTAATGAATTTGGGAAATGGGATGTCTGTATATTGTATTTGGCTTCACGTTTGAGGCTTGTCACCCATAAGGCTTGGGTATTAATGAATTTGGGAAATGGGATGTCTGTATATTGTATTTGGCTTCACGTTTTAGGCTTGTCACCCATAAGGCTTGGGCCTATTTTATAACGTTAATGTATTGTAAGCCTCATCAGTTTTGAATTTCTCCTGATTGTGATCATCCACAATAAACATAGCAAGGGAAAACAAAAAATCACATTCGAGTAATCCCAGTTTTGTTTCCCTTTAATTTTAAACCTTTTTTTCGTCAAGGTACATTAATTTTATTTGTTTTTCTCCTGATTCTAAGTTATTGCAGACTTTTACGGACCAGTAATATTAAAAACAATACCGTAGCAATTTCGTGAGGGCCACCCTCATAAAATATCCCCATTTGAGCTCTCCCGTAAGTCTATTTTTTCAGACAAAGATTTTGGTAATTCATTCGTGTGTGCTCTAACAACCTATGTCTTTCCTCATTATGTCAATTATATTTTTGAAAACTTCGAAAAATGACCCTCAAATGCATGTTTACTCTTGTTTGGACTACCTAGTGTCATTGAAAATTCCAGTGTGTGCCAAAGGTTGCCGATCTCTGGATATATTAAGAACCTAATGATCCCATGTAGTATGTAGCCATTTGTAGCTTAAGGACTATTCAGCTTGGCTTATAAATTGTGTTTAATGTCAGACACCCCACCAGTTTTCATTTTTTTAATGCTGTTTGAGTGGTGCACTCTCTTTAACTCTACGACTTTTAATAGCAACATACAACCAAGTTAAAGTGATTTAATAGCTTTAAGAATTCATCAAAAGTTTCCCCTCTTACAGCTAGGTACTTCATTTACAGTGACCCTGCTAATTCTGCTATCAGTGTAGGTCATGGTAACATTTATTGCAGCAAAAGACACAAAATATAAAATGAAAACGAGAGTGTATACTCAAATGTTGAATAAATTTTAATGCATTGCTGCTCGACTCATCATTGTAGCAGCAAAACAATACACAAATAAACATTGCAAAGTCTCTGGTACATTTTGTAGAATTGACCTTTCAAGAAAAGGTGTTTTGAGTGTACTGAGAGCTGGCAACCAAAATCAAACAAAGGCACAAGGGATGAGAGAAAGTCAAGTTTACTGGCTTTATTGTCAAAGACAACCCAGAAACATCCATCTGACTTCATACACACAAAAATTGTGGAGATACAAAGTGACAAACTTCACAAGGACATGGAATCCATTCTTTGCAAGCTTTTAATTAGCTCAATAAATAACCCAAACTTAAGTTTAAGAAGGTTCTAAAAAAAGTGTGTTTTTAAACCATGGCTGTATATTATTTTATAGTAATAAAGGTGATGGTTCCTAGTTTCTCTCAGCCCAAGTCCTTTCAATGTTACAACTCTGTTGTTGGAGAAAATAGTATTTTTTTAAAAAAGGTTTACTAAAGGCTGTTGATAGAGTGATGTCAACTCAAGACAGCATGACTTTAATCTACACAGAAATGAACATGACACACACATACACAAACATACACAGGTACAAAAAAGTAAATAAATAAGTGTAAAAAAAAAAACCCAGGCGAGGTGGAGCAAAGTGCTGCACTGATATGTGGGGGAACATAACACTGTGCAAACACACACTCCATAGGCCATATGGCCACCCATTAACAGGGATTTAGGGGGTGGGCTTTATATATGCAGGGCATAGATAGGGGGGATATCCAATACCCTGCAAACCTAGCGGGGGTCATCATCACCCGCAAAATTACAAGAGGAATTTCTCATTTGACAGCTTTCTCTAGTTTCATGGGCACAGGTGTGCCACAACTAAAATTGCTTTTCTTATGTGTCTGTTTTTCACTGATTATTTGAGGGCTGTTTTAATAATTTAAACTAGTCCAATGACTTAGTCAAGTTATTATTTAAGAGTTTTGTCTCCTAGTTGAGTTACAATAGTTCATGGCCTTGGATTTATCAGAATCCTTCAAGAAGCCTTGACACTAATGCAATTTCTAACCTTATGGTAGCTTACCAATATAAAATATCTGCAAATACATTTTTTAAGATTCATATGAATTGGCAGGTCTGAATTCTTTTGTGCCAAAAAGAGAATCAAATGCCTTTCAATCTGTCATGTCCTCATACATATATATGTAGTATATGTAGAATAGCAGAAGCAGCATTCATTTGTATAATTGTTATACAAAAAACAGGGACAAAAGCTGTTTGTCCTGTTACCAGTTAAAGCAGTCAGTGAACTGTTATGAGCAGAACATAAGCACTACACAAGTAGTGCAGTCCTGACCAAGAACATAAAACAGAATGGTAGGTTTCCTTAGAGAACAAACAAATGGATATAACATTATTTTCAACATCACAAGTACATGGGCACCAATAACTGGCATTTTTTTACAATTCCAAAATTGCACATAATTATATCAATGTGTAGGAGAATTTTTAGTCTCCCAATTTTGAACTGTTCCTCTTCCTAACAAATGGAGCTAAGTCTTTTACATCGCTTGCTACTATTGCAACAATTCAGATCTTATTTGTTTAATGGAAATATTATGCTTAAAATTTTGATACATATCAAACAGTTTGAAACAGCTTCCTTCCTACTACTAACTTAAAAAAAAAAATCCACACTTTTAACTTTTTTTAAAGAACATAATGCAACATGTTTTTAAAATAATCAGTTAAAAATGTTATTACGGGTATCAAATCAAACTTTAAAGCATTCCAATCATTTATAAAGTAAAAAAATTGCTGTTGAGCTTGTAACTAGGCTGGGCCCAGTAGGAAAGGAAAACTCAGGATTCATAGCACTAAAAATGACAATTTTAAAAAAATGACACGCTTTCATGTACAATCAATTACTACTATACAATTTCCAAAATTATGCACACTATGTCCATAACCATTTACCCAATGTATACAAGCATTGTTTGTTCTCAAAGTTGTTTATGAAACCACACACTGTACAGCTTGCTGGTTCACTATGAATTACACTGCTTGATCCTGTTAACTGGTATACCTTCTCATGGCAATAATTGTCCTGTTATTTAATAAAATGTCATGAACTGTCAATGGATACCAAATGTCCAGAACACTTATTAAGGATATTAAAAGTGCACTCTGCAAAGAAACACACCAAAATGCCCTACAATTATGATAGTTGTACTGGCAGATACAAATCAACGCTCTTCTAAAAGGGCAAAAATATGTGTCTCTGCATGGGGTTTAGGTAGTCAAAGTTGGGATTGTAGTTGGATCCTGGTTTTAATACAACAGAAAGTAGATGCTTTTAAGTCCAGAAATAATGTTTCTGTAACATTACCTATCACTACCTTTAGTAATATTTACTTTATTAAGCCATATTTAAAATACCAAGTATAAATCTGAAGTTTAAATCATCTTTAAAAAGGAAGGAAATGTATAATATTCAAAGATAAGTATCATGTTTTTTATATAGTTTGTTGCAAATACTTGCTTCAAAAAGTGAAATGCTTTTTTTTTGGGTTGTGAAATTGAGTAAATATATTTGTCAATATTTAAATCTTTCCCTAGGTTTTAAAACTACTTCTCTTCTGTATTAGTTGTGGATTTTCCATCATTTTCTGGACTAACAGAGGAAGCTATAGCAGTTGTAGTAGTGGGGGTGGTAGTCATAGTTGCAGCAGTCGTAATTTTCTTTCCAGTGGTGTTATCGGTACCGGGTACTGTTGCTACAGCAGTTACTGGGATGGCAGGAGCTCTTGTATTACTACTAGCACTGAGGTTGATTTTGACACTTGTGCCAACCAAACCAGGATTGGACACCATGGCTAGTGCAGGCTTTTTATCCTCGGACTTACTGCCCGTGGTGGCATTTGATGTTGAAGTGATAGTTTTTGCACTAGTTTCTTTTGTCGAAGTGGTTTTAGTGTTGTTGAGGAAGTTTGCAGCATGTGTAAGAACTTCTTGCCGCTGCTTGGCCTGCTGAGCCTTGATACTATTGATGGGGTCAGGATAGGAGCCAGGAGGTTTTGATGAGCTGCTTGGTGGTGTTGAACTGGTCTGAGGTCCAGAGTTTCCTATTTTCTGGTTCATGCCCGGAGAACCACCAGATACTTTATTTCCAGATGTATGAGATCTAGGGGGGGCATTGTTGGGGCCCCCCATGTAAGAGCTCGGACCCGATGAAGAGCCTTTCATAGCATAATGATTTGAGGCACTTGCATTGTTTTGCAAGCTCATTTGCTGAGTAATGACAGATTTTGCAGCATTAATAAGAATACTGCTAATTAGGGCATTATTGCCCATCGTCATCGGATTTAGATTAAGAGGATTTGGGTTAGAGTTGTTAACAGATGGATTGGGGTTTCCACCTTTGTTGGCCGGTCCATTGTTAAAAGGCTGCATGCTTGGGGGCATTGAGAGCGAAGTTCCACCTGGTCTCTGAATAGGATTAGGAAAAGATCCCCTATTATTTGCAGAAACTTGTGGAGCATTGGATCTCACCATACCTCCCATTATTATGGGTGGTCTTACTTGGTTATTACCTGTAGAAAGGTGAACAAAAAACTTAAAGGTTTATATATTATATACATTTTAAACTAAGGACATTTTTTAAAGTTTTTTTTTTGTAAAACAGTTGATACCAAAGAAGTTGTTTACACATTTTGTTTAGTTTAAGTATAAATATCTGAATTTGCTGTGATTAAAATGTCATTTTACATAACTAGATGAGCAACTTCATCACTTATGTGTAAATCTAACAACATCTGGGATCATCCATATAGTTCAGAATAAAGGCTTGATAAGAAAAAGTGACCTTTTATTTTATTATTAGCGCCACCCATCTATTGGAACTATCTCTTTCTTAACTAATTTATAACATTAATCAGCTGACCCAGATATAACGTTAATTACCCATACAATGAACCAAAAAACAGCATTTATTTAAATAAGCACAAACTTCGTAACACAACCTGTCCATAGGAGTATTAGGTCATGGTCTTAATTAGTTAGCATATTGATGCTCTCCCACATCATGTAATCACTGATAAGGCTATAGCTCATATTAACCTTTAAGTTGTCCAATAGCAAACATGCTGTGGTGCAAACATTTTTTAAGTAACTTTAAAATGTATCACTCAAAAACTCAAACTAATCAAACTAATCAAAAATAAATATGGAGACCCATACAAGTAGAGATATTCTTTGACAATTAATTATATGGTCTAAATAATGGAATTCTAACCTCTTATAAGTACAATATTAAGTGCACAATAGCAGACATGTTTACCCCCAAACTCTTAAAATCGTACAATATCATCACAAAAATTGTTCAATACCTTATAGTTATAGTAAAAAAATAATCAGACAGTATATGATGTATACACCTCAAAATCGTAAGAGTAAAAAGGTCTGCAATAGTCCACATGGTAGTTTTGCTAAGTTAAAAACAGTGCTTGTGGGGGGGAAAAAATGCTCACTAGATAAATGTAAATTTATGACAACTTTAGATTTGACACTTAGAACAATCTTGCTCTCTACAGAGGAATAGTGCTACTCTTTCTTTTGTTTTTAACGTAAACCCACACTGAATGATGGGGTCCTTTCTATTTTATAAATAAGTTTTTCGGACACAAGACATTATTCTTTGATTTTAGAGAATATAAAAGTTATTAGAGTTTTTGTTATGTAAAATAAAGTCTAGGCCAGTAAAATTTGGATGAAATAATGCAATACTAACAAAGGCAGTAAAATGAACAGTACCTGTCAAGACCCAATTTTAACAAACAATAGAAATTATAACTATTTGAAATGGCATATAGTATTTCATTAAACGTTCAAGTTAAACTACATACAGATGCAATAGGTACATAAAATTTACCTGTTGTGGGAGGCTGACTTGGAGGAGGCTGTTGTGGTGGCATATAAGACTGCGAGCCACTGTTCCCAGTGCCACTAATGCCAGAATTGCCACCATATTTATTGGTAGCTGGAAAGTTTGGAGCATTCGGATTTAAATATCTTGAAGTTGTTGAGCTCCTAGAGCTTGTACTGGGTGGTTGTGTTGGTGGGGGTGCACCCATAGTTATATTTTGACTATTGCGAGTGGTATTACTGTTGCCACCCATGTCCATCCCACTGACTGGTATTCCAGCTGCATTAGAACTAGAGCCTTTGCTGCTATTGCTCATACCATGGTTGGACACGGCCATGTTAACATTAGGAGCACCCGTGGTATTCATCATCATGCTATTGTTGCTGTGGCTATTGATGTTTACAGAGTTGAGATGACTGTTCATGTTGTGAGGCATACTACTACTACTTGAGCTGCTTCCTCCAAATTGCTTGTTAGACAATATCTGTCCTTGGCTGTAGTTAGGTACATTACTCACATAACTGTTACTCTGCTGACTATGAGGCGGTGACTTTATCTGCAGGCATAAAAAAAAAAGGTTTTAGAGATGCCCATTTGAAATCTTGTTCTTAAAGCAAAATCCTTACTTATCTGGACTGAATAGCTAAGTCCATACTAACCTGATTACTCCTTGACACAATATGTTGTTGGCTTTGTTGGGAGAGCCCAGTATGTCCCAGGTGCTGTGATGACTGGGCAAGATGAGGTGTATGGCTCAGCTGTTGATTAGCCTGTTGTTGGCCGCTCACAATGTTTCCAAAAGGAGACCCTTTGTTTGCAGTCATAGTGTGCTGTGGTACCTGTTGTGGAATACCATGGCTCAATGATTGGTGAAGGTTCATAGCTGTGGGTCCAGCAGGGCCTTGGTCAAGGGTTGAAGGCTGTAAGGTCAGACCTAGACCATGAGTCTGACTACTGAATGCTTGCATTGAATATTGGTGAGCAGCTGATGGTGGTTGGATAGGGCCCTAAGGGGGGAAGGAGTAAAGAAAAAGAAGTATTAGCAATGGCATTAAAATAAGTATTAGAAATGGCTAATAAATTGTAGTATTTGTACCACATATGTTCAGTTCACGCTTTCTAATTTTCGATCATACATTTGATGCGATTTTTGTGTGAAGCCTTGTCACAAGTTTCAACTTGATATTTGATCAAATTCTCATAATTTTTGTCCAAAAAAAAAAATCTTGTGAACTGAGCAGAATGGACACAAAATATATATTTATTATTATAGTTAAATTTAAATCTCATGCTAGTTCATAAAACAGAATTATTTTTCTTACAAAAACTATTTTTTTTACATTAAGCTTTAATTGTGAGATTATGGTTTGAAACGAAGTATTAATACTACTATAATAAAAAATATTTTGTTTCGGTTTGGATCGTACAAAAATACCATATAGCAAAGATGATCCACTGTTTAAGTTTCTACTGGCTAAATAGGCTTCTTAATACATGCTGATTTAACATTGGAAACACTCAGATTTTCCATACACTTTATATTATTTTTTCAAAATTTATTTTTGTCAGTACCATAATATTTTGAATTTGGAAATATCTGGGTTATGAGCATAATAAATTTTAAATAAAATGTTTTGAAGTTTTTTCTACTCCTAAAAAGCCACTCAATACATATTTAATTATATATATATATATATATATATATATATATATATATATATATATATATATAAAACACACAACCTTACTCTTTCTTTCCAGAACAACGCTCCCATCGTCAATACGCAAAAATCTTCATTTCATATCGAAATATATATTTTTGTGTATTGATATATATATAATTATATATATATATATATATATATATATATATATATATATATATATATATAAATAAAACACCCAACCTTACTCTTTCTTTCCAGAACAACGCTCCCATCGTCAATACGCAAAAATCTTCATTTCATATCGAAATGAAGATTTTTGCGTATTGACGATGGGAGCGTCAATGTATAAAAACTTGTTTATTTCAGTTCTTTCCTTAGGTATTGGTTTTTAATTATTTAAAATCAATTCTAGAATGATTTCCCTTTGTTTAAACGTCAGTTTTTTCTGTGTTTGAACGAGGTTTAACAGAGAACAAAGTGTTTGAAGCGGTTGTTTTGATTGTCCATTTTATTTTTGTTTACAAACATGAAATCTTGACCTGACCAAATCTGGTGATCGATCTAATAAAGGTTGAAAATATTTCTGTGCTGATGATTAAGACAGTGATTTTATGATTTCAAATGCAGAGGCTGATTCAGTTGAATCATATGATTATAATCCTAGTACTAGTAGTCCTAGTGACGAAATAATGAAATTGGCTGATGAACAAACAGCCCCGCCCCCAGCTAAAGTGCATATTCATATGGATTGCTTTTTAGGCCTACCATAGCTAAACCCAGATGAAAAGATATGTCAAATTTATGGTAAATTATCCATTTACCATAATAAATGTTAGTGCATACAAGAATACAGTGCAAATATTTTTTATAATAGCAACAAATTGTTTCAAGTGGAAATAGTTAATTTTTTTTCGCACATTTTTTGTGTGACGATGACAATGGATAGCGAATGGATAGCGTGCTCTGGTGCTTAATTTTTTCTTTTTTTTTCTCCAGTTGATCTTTATTATTTGTGATGGACATATGGAAATAGTTCAGAAAAAAGACATTTTTGTTACACTTTGGATTATATATTTCTCTTCATGTGACTTGGAATGAGCATTTTGTGAACAGTTTGTAAGTTTTTAATTTTTTTTTCTTCCTGAAATGATAATCACATTTATATATTACAATTTAAACCTAAGTCTTGTTTGCTTGTAATGGGCATACATTCCCCTTTAATTCCATACCAAACTTAACGTTTTCTGATGAAAAAAAATAAAGTTATGATGTTTAAAGATAGCATAGTAGTGCCTAACAAATATGCAAAATTTGATAAATCCACAGAACGTGGAAAATAATTCCGGAGAGAAAGAGTTAATTACAATACATTTCAAACATTAAACTCAGTTTTTCCCATTTTCATTGAAATCCATCATAAACAAAAACAAAAATAAAAATATTTGCAGAAATGAAATCTTAATTTTAGCTTAAAAACATAAAAAAATGAAAATTAATAGTTGCAGGACTGATAATTCACAATTATGATGAAGTTAAAACAACAAACTTACCCCAACTTGAAAAGCCGAGCTTGGTTGTTGTGCAGGATAAAAACTAGCTGCTTGAGCTTGTTGTAAAAAAGATGAGGAGGGCTGAACCTGAGTTCTGCAACAAAATTAAATGTTTTAGTTGATGCATTGAAGCAGAAAATTGAACAAATTAATAATATAAAAAGTTCATCAAAGTTGAACTTCATAGACACAGCTCAAAAAGGGTTAAAGATAGACAAATTATTGAAGTTGGATCACTAACATTTTAAATAATAAGCCATTACCTCGCCTGCACAAGCTGAGAGCCAATAATTTGGGAACTGCTCATGTTCTGGCTGGGCTGAAACAACTGCCCTAAAGGGGGGTTAGGATCATAAAAAAAGAGTTGCTGAGATGGTGCTCCAGGTAGTGAAGAACTACCTAAGCTTCCACCATAGGAAATTTGACCCTGGCCAAGAGCTTTACCCATGGGCTCAGCAAACTGAAAATCTGAAAAAAAATGAGATTAAAAATACATTAAAATAAAGCTTTAACTAGAGAACAATTACTTGTATCCCAATTACAAATAAATGGTAACATTGTTTTTTTTATTTACTTCATTCTTCCTTTTTTTCCCCCCTTCAAATTAATTAACAGTAACTTTGCCTTTGATTTGGTAAAACTGTCTATTTGGGCAATTTCAGTAAATTCTTAGGGGGGAGGATGGTGCACGCAAACAAATTATATTCGCAAATATGTTTAATGCACTGTGAATCATCTGGTAAGAAATTCTTCTGACATCATTGAAACAATGTTAATGGTCAATCCAGTGTTGTCTTAAATCATCAGGTAGCCTTGCAACCTTGAAAATTGTAAACGTCACTGTTACTTCAGTTAATTTTATGTACTTATAACTCATGTATGTCAGTCACATTATAAAATATTAAAGGTCCAATTTTCGGTTTGCTACACTTTTTTTCTTGAACAAATATTTCACAAGGTAAATCATACCATCATTTTGAATAGGATCTAGATATATCCCACTTATTTCATAGTTCATCAGAGAGAAAAATCACACATGACCTCTTGCTGGGAACCCAAAGTTACACTCCTACATCTGACACCCTTCACCCAACATCAAATCAGCATGTACAAAGTCATACTGTTACATGCAGTTAATCAAATTAGATTTCTGAGCATTTTTGGTTAGCCCGCATAAATCATTGTTAATAGGAACTGTGGGGTTGTTAAATTACCAATACTAAAAATTAGCATTGCTCTAAGTAACCCAAATAACTTTGCTGTGGCAACTGGTAATTTGTTTTTGAAATTATATGTTCAAATTTTGACTCTATGGTACCTTGGTTTCCATTTTAATCCATTATATTAAGTAACAGTACACCACACAAAAGTCAGATGTAAAAACAGTTATTTGTATTAAAGTTACCAAAAAAAAAGACAGCCTTCATTAACACACTTACCTGCACTAAAGACAGAAGATTGAGCAGATGCATGTGATGGATTGGGGGCTTTTATATTTGTTGACATGAGAGCAGAAGTAGATGATGACACCATAATGGTGCTTTGCTGTGATGGAGGTGGTGCGGCTGCAGCAGCTGCTGCCTGTCCAAATCCATGACTGCGCTGAGGGAAACCTAGATGTGATGCAGACAGATATTCTTGCTGTGTTGGTGTAGTCGGAACAAAAACATTGGGTTGATTGTATGTCTGCTGCGCACCCATTGGACCTTGTGCCTGCTGCTGTGGACCCATAGATGCTGTTTGCTGAGCTTGTGACAAGCTAAAACCAAAACTAGGTTGATGGTACTGTAAAATTAAAAGAAGAATAAAATTAAAATTAGTTAAACCTATATCAATGAACCATTATGGAACATGCACAAACCTAAGAGAATAATTATTGTAAACACTCACATTCAACTATCTGATATAGTTTTATTTGATCAAATTTACATTCAGCTTACTGTTTATATTTAACCAGTTCAAGTTTTTAAAAGTTTATGGCTGTGGCAATCTTACTTGGCAATTATGGCCTGCTAATGTTTTAAAAAAAAAAAAAAAAAAAAAAAAAAGGAAAGACCTTTAAAAACTACATTGTTAGAGTGGCAGATAACCTTGTTCAACTTCTCCCTTTTCATTGGTACTTGGTTTGGAATGATTGAACAAGCCATAAATGGAGCAAGTTACATTTTGTTGTTGCACTTTTTAATAAATTACCCATTCTCACAAATGGGTTTGTTATAAACATTTGGATTTTTATATATGGTTTAAAAGGGATTTGAACAAGCTTAAAAATTGATACTAAAGTGAAAATTCCTTTTTTCCCCCCCACTTTTTGTGAGACCTTGATAGATTATCTGTAAAAATCAGAATTTTGAGATAACGGGTTTTAAATTTTTAGCACTGTATCATCCTAAAATTCCTAACCGCCACCACCATAATAATAATATGAATATTTATTAGCTATAGCTCGCCCATCCATGCCGGCTGCAATGCACGATCTTCTCATCTACTTGACAAAAACACTTTATATTTCCATTAGTGCTACCTTCCCATACGCCATCGTCCCTGAACTATATTAATATTCTAATGTCCCACCTGCTTTTACACTGCAGATTTATTACACCAATAGTTATAGCCCACAAACAATAACGGCAGTAATGTGTAATCATCCATCTACTAAAGTTGAGTGACAAAACATGACTAAACATGTAACGCACTATATTAGCATCCTAATTAATAGCTAATAGTCAACCGAGCAAGTTTTCGTTTGAACTCTTGTTAAAAAGATTGTTTAACCTGATGAAAAAGTACACTTCACAATTAACTATTCCACTTTTAGGGACAGTATAAAAAAAAAAATAATAAAACAACGCCCTAATCCCTTTTAGCAAAGCAAAAAAACTTACTCGTTCCTGTGCCATAAATTGAGATCCTATTTGGAAAGCTGGGTAACCATGTCCAGTGAGAACCATTGGTGGACTAGCTACAGTAGGAATTGTTCCTGACATTCCAGAGGACAACATGGACATTGACATGGGATCATTTCCAAGTCCCATCTGGAGCTGCTGAGGACGCACCTGTAAGTTTTAATAACCATTAAAATACACTAATTTATTACCCCCCTCCTCCCCAAAGCACCCTCCCAAACCAGGGAAAAATAATACAATTTATAATATGGAAATGAATACAAAAAATTTATTGAAATCTTTTTTACAATAAACTTAAAAATGTAAAACCAATAAATGTACTAAACATACCTTGCAAACATTTGTTGGTTCAATGGAGATGCTTTTATTTTCATGGCCGCCAATCATCATGCCAGACTGCGACATTTCAACATCACTGATCATAACTGTTTCAGGAGGGTGAGGTGAGTGAAGGTGCTGAATCACTGGGGAGTGTCTTGGTGCTGGAGCCACAGGCACAACAGTGCTAGATGTCACATTCTTTGGATTCTCTTCAAGCTGAGGTTCACTGTTGATTCCTCCTACACTTACACTAACAGTGTTTGCAACTACTTCATGACCATAGTTGGAGAAAACAGAGTTGTTAGAAGTTGAAGTTCCACTGACGTTGTTGGCATTAGTATTATTTCCACTTATAGTTGGGGCCATGGCATCATTTGTAATAGTGGTGTTACTTGTAGCCATGCTTGTCCTATAGGGAAATAACATTTTTGAAATGGTTATTTCACTTAGGAACAGCAAATTAGAAATGGTTATGTATTGACCAAAAAATAGCTGTCTGTATGATAAATCTCACATCACTTTCAGTAAAAAGAAAAGTTTTTTTTTAAATTTATTTGTTTTAAAATTAGGCCCATGTGCCAGAGAAAAATCTACATATTTTTGGTTTTGTTGGTTCCTATAAGAAGATGATCAAACAAAAAAAAAATGCTTAAAATTTCTTAACATACTTGTGTTCAAAAGCTTGTGGCAAAGGATCCCAGAAGTTTTTCACCGAGGCAATTTTAGAGCTCAAATCTTCTGTTGCAGGGGAAGTAGGTGACACGATGGATGGTGAGCCAGCAACAGGTGCAGAGAGATTCCTTTTATCTTTATGTACAGAAGGTTCAACCTTTTCAGTCACATTAGGTTGTTCTGGCATTGTTAAACTATTTGCAAGGTTCTCGTCATAACGGAAATCCAGCTGAAGGCTAGACTCATCTCCCTAGATTGAAGAAGTAAATTAAATTTTTGTATTAGAGTATATATTAAAAAAGAAATTTGCTTTAAGAAAATAAAATACCAAGATCAATTTCATTTCATACCTATGTGCAAATTTTTTTTATAGAGTAGAAATTGATAGTTGCCTTGCTTAATGTTTTGAATAAATGTATGTCTTACTGTTCTGTAGATCCCTTGGAAATAGAAGGTATGCATAAAATTTTCATAGTACATAGTTTTGTGGTAAAAATTTCAAAATAAGTTTTCATTTTGATTTTTAAAAGTTATTGGACGTTTTTTTTTTTTAAAATGAAATTTTTACATTAAAATTAATATTTAAAGATATTTAATCTCTGTTCAGATGACTTAATTAGTGGTACAACAGCATTCCCAAATTATTGTCCATTGATAACTGTCACAAGTCCACGATCCTTACTCTGCTGGTCCCCAAAACATCACTCATTTATGGTCAAATAAAAAGGAAATAGAATTAATAGATCTGGCACCGGCCCCTTAATCAATGGGAAACTAGTCCGCTAAATCTTCAAGTTTGGGAAATGCTGGTATAACACGGTTTAAGATTCATGAACAAATTTTGGTATCAAAGTGCATACTTTCCCAAACATTGAGTCCTTGTAGCTGGGTGGCATCTGTATGGGCTCAGGTTTAGTGTTGCTGACGTCTTTATTCAGATTAATTTCAGCTTTCTTTATCACTTTGACACTTGCTTCAGTCTTGACTACCATCTTTTCACTTTTACTTGTCTGTAAAACATTGTTTTTAGCATTATTTTTTATTGTCTGCCATGAAAGATTTAAGAATAGAACATAATTTAAATTGAACAGATTTTTATAGGTAATTGCTAGCAAAATCTCACCTTAGGTGGACGCTGAGACTTTGGCATCTCAATGCCCTGGAGAACATCTATGGGCATACTATCACTTTTCTAGAAAAAAAGTGTCAAACAAAAAGTTTAATTTTACATTTTAGTCTTTTAGACACTATAAATGTGTGTAAATCATAATTCAAATTTAAACATTTCAAAAATCCTATTTATACTTTTAAAATAAACTAAATCAGATGTCCAGTTGAGACCAATTCTTATATCGCAAATGTGAATCAACTTTATGGTATTGACAAGCTTTTTTTTTACAAATAAAATATTTAATTTTAAAATGGCTGTGCACTAAGATACATATTTCTGACTTCAAGAAAACTGAATACAGAATGAGTAAATATACATTAAGGGGAAAATTTTTAGAGAAAGATTTAATGAATGTCATTTGCTTATTAACGCTTATTAAGTCTCCTTTAATTATCAAATAACCATGCTCTTACATGCACTATATACATATATTATAAAAAAAATTAATTTAACCCTTTACAGTCCGATGCGCCCGAAATACGCCGATTTTTTCCTTAAGCCTACAGTCCGATGCGGCCGAACCCGCCCGTTTCGAGGTTGTTTACTTTCGTTCTTAGCACAGCGGAAATCCATTGCGCATTACTATTTATAGTTCTACCGGAAGAAAGCCTCGTTGTCGGCATTTATTTCAATACTAGTTTGACCGCGGTGTGTTTAGGGGCTGATTTTCTATGATTTTTTTAAAAGTCGTGATTTTTTCGCTGTAAAAAATGGCCATCTAAGCCTTGGATACACTTTTGAAAGAACTTATGCCTAATGAAGCTTCACTATTTCATGAGTGGGAGGGTCTCTGAAACTATTTTTAGGTTTAACTTTTGCTTTAATCATTTCTTTGTATTTAGGTAGTTTTTATTTTATTTTGTTGCTTCTAGTTTATTTTCTGTAAATTAATTAGATAAAAAACCTTCATTTAAAATGGAGTTATGTCCCTTTGCTTGGGCGCTGGGAGTAGACAAGGCTGAATAGGTTTGGACTGTAAAGGGTTAAGGGCATTTAAATTAGTGAAACATATGTACCTAAGGATATTTTAAAAATCATACAATTTAAATCAATACTATTGACAGCTCTTTAGTTTTTCTAACATACTGTTATTTTGAGACAGAAGCAGTGGGGACAAAACCCCAAAAATGGTACTTGCAATTATCTCAGCAAATATTAAAAAATAAAAATTTTATGAACTAAACAATCACTTTGAAATCATGTGTAGAAAAACTGATAATTAAACAAATATAAGAATATTCACTGACATAGTTTGCCTATATGATTATTTCATGACACATTTTTTTTTTTTTTTTTTTTTAAAATTTTAACACATTGAAATTCGCACTTTTATAACTAACCAAATTGAGGTGTTCTTTTCCCTACACAATAGATCAAAAACCAACGTATCTGAAAAACTAAATAAGATTATTATTTATTCTATTTTTTTTTTTTTTTTTTTTTTTAAAATTTTAACACATTGAAATTCGCACTTTTATAACTAACCAAATTGAAGTGTTCTTTTCACTACACAATAGATCAAAAACCAACGTATCTGAAAAACTAAATCAGATTTATTCATTATTCTGAAAAAATTTGAGGATATAAATAAAAACAAATGGGTTGATGAATATACAGTTATGCTCTGAAGGTTGAAATTTAATTGAGGGAATTGGATTCGCTCATATACCTTGAGCACTGGGGCTGCGGAGGGATCCACACTTGAAGAGTGTGGGATGGTAGTGGAAGTGATGAGCTTGTTATCAGCACTGGGAGAGCTCCGCGTGGATGATGCCGCTGAGTTTGGCTGGTCACTTACATCTATCCCACTGTCATGCTGATCTCCTTTGTCCACCTTCACATCTGCTGGATTGACCACAATGTGCTGAGCAGAAGTAGAAAGAGATGTAGTGGGTACTTGTTGGGACTGGGAACCAACAGGCCCAACAGAAGCTGCAAAGTTAATAGGCTTGGTCCAGGCACTAATTGGAGGTGCAGGTGCTGGTGTCATGGATAAAGGCACCATCATAGAATTCATTCCAGAACTTTTATTTGTCACTATCATTGTGCTTGTGACAGACATGGTCAACTCTGAAATAAATCATTTAAAATTTTGGGATTACTCCAGGGATTAACTTTATAATTAAAAAATGTGATGCATGTGCTTTATGTTTTGCATTTTATTTAATGATGATGCTTATTAGCAATACTTATTTGTAATAAATGTGGTTATCTATATTCCCAAAAAGGACTTATACATTTAATAAATAGTGCATTTTTAAAAAAATATATCATTCTATTTATAAAACCAAGAACATAACTTTTTAACATTGATAAAAGTTACAAACTTATTTGGAAATAAGTAAAATTCCAGGGTAAAGGTAAGAAATTTTGTGAATTTCATCAAACTCACAAAGATGATTTTGTATAACTGGCTTAACAGGGTTATAAATCTAACAGTGAAAATATATTAACCTTATTTACAATAAGAAAAAACTTATATCAATTCTATATATATATAGGATACTCCACTACAAAACATGATTTCCCTGTAATTTGTACAAATATTTTACATTTGCTCAAAAGAAGTGTAAATGCTATTGTCAACAAATAGGATACTCAACTACAAAGCATGATTTCCATGTAATTTGTACAAATATTTTACATTTGCTCAAAAGAAGTGTAAATGCTATTGTCAACAAAACATAAAAAGGTGTATTTTTAAAAATGATTTTCCCCTGATCAATATTAGTATTATTTAAACCTATAACTGTCATTAACAGCCGATGATCTGCAGTTAAAATCCAAAATCTTACTTAAAAATGCAAATGACTTAACTCTTTCTCTCCCAATCAACGCTTCCATCGTCAATTTTAAATGAGGTTTCTGGCGGATCGACGATGGCAAAACCTGTTTATTTATTTCGGTTCTTTTCTTAGCTATTTGTTTTTAGTTATTTTAAATAAAATCTAGAAAGATTTCCCTTTGAAAAACATCCAGTATTTCTCTCTTTGAACTTAAGTGTTTGAAGTGGTTGTTTTGATTGTCCATTTGATTTTTGTTTACAAACATGAAATCTTGACCTGACCCATCTGGTGATCAATCTAATAAAGGTTGAAATATTACTCTGATGACCATTCAGACGGTGATATTATGATTTCGAATGTAGAACTGATTCTGATGAATCGTAGTTATAATACTAGTACTAGTATTACTAGTGACGAAATAAATGAAATTGGTAATTCATCAGCAGATAAACAAACAGCCCAGCCCCAGCTAAAGTGCCTTCTAGAAGAGCTAATACTGCTCCTACTATAAATAGTGTAGATTCTAAAAGGAAAGCTGCTGATCTTTGCACTAAAACTGAGTGCAATTTCAGACTTTTACCTTTGAAAAATGTAGGTGTAAATTTGAAGCTTGTATTGTGACTAGTAAGTCAAATGACATCAACTGTTTTTTTAACTTTGCTAGACACATATTCACAAGGTTGCACTCTCAATATAGGAGCATACTTCCTACAGAATTAAAATCAATACTCCAACATGACTTATCAGAGCAAAACATGTGCCTATTAGCTCCAAAAAGGACAATGTGCAAACATAGAACAGGACAAACTGTACTGGTATATGAGTCAATGTAGGTCGAGTCCGCATATCCATATGGATTGTTTTCAGCCTTACTATAGCTAAACCCAGATGAAAATGTATGACAAATTTATGGTAAATTTTCCATTTACCATAATAAGTGTTGTTCTTCTATATCTTAAGGGCCCACTATCAATTTATTGATCATTTTGGCTCCTATGCATCTAGATGGGATTTGCAATGTTTCTGTTACTGGTGTTGATGAGGAAATCATGCACTAGGGGTTTGAAGGCTTGAGGCAATAGACTCAAATGTGTCTAGTGTTGTCACCTCAACCGTTCCTTTTGAAAGATGGTTCCAGTCCCTGATTGTCTTGGGCAGGAATGAGCAGCTCCTATACTGGCTTCTTGCTGGTATGGGCCTGAATTGCCTGTCATGGCCTCGTCACTGTCTATGGGGGAGAGGGACGAGTTTCTGTTTAATACTGGAACAGTGGACCAGCCCATTATTTATCTTGTACATCATGGAGAGCCTGGATTGTCGTCGTCGTTTCTCCAATGGTGACCAGCCTAGTGTTTCTAGCATGCTGCCAACACTAGAGGTATTCCTGTAGCGGTTTAGGACAAAGCGTGCTGCTCGTCGCTGGACCGCCTCCAACCTGTCAATGCTCTTCTGGGTAAATGGGTCCCAGACTGAAGATGCATAATCTAAAATCGGACGGATAAAGGCTTTATATGCTCTTTCTTTCACACAGGAGTTGCCAATCTTTAGATTTCGCCTTAAGAACCCTAGGGTCTTGTTTGCTTGGTTACATACATTGTTAATATGCTCGTCCCAGCGGACCTCTCTTTGAATGTTAGTACATACAAGGATACAATTCAAATATTTTCTAATAGCAACAGATTGTTTCCAGTGGAAATAATTTTATTTGGAAATATTTTATGTGGTGGTGACAATGGATAATGTGCTATGGTGTTAATTTTTTATATTTTTTTAAAGTTGATCTTTATAATTTTTGGTGCACATATGAATATAGTTCATAAAAAAACATTTTTTTTACACTTTGGGTTATATATTTCTCTTTGTGTGACTTAGAATGAGCGTTTTGTGAACAGTTGGTGAGTTTATATTTAAAATTTGTTTTCCATAACTCATGATCACATTTATATATTAACTCATTCCCGACGTTTCCAACTAAATACGTCCTTTACGGGTTTCGCCGGATGCGTCCAAATGCGTCCCGGTGCATAGCGACACACCTCTCTCATATCTATTTAAAAATAGCAATGAAATCTCGCATCCCTCGAGACTTCCGGTGATGAAGTGGTTCAGTGTGATTTTAATTTAAAAACCGGAAGTTTTTATCTTGTTTCATTTTAAAACGATGCGTCTTTAAGTAGCATGTGTTCGCCCGAGGTGACGAAAATCGATTTTTTTGGCCATTGTTCGTTATTTTTCCCCCGCTAATGTTATATTTATATTAAACCTTATTCATTTTTTTTTGCATTTGTTCTTAATTCTTAACATTAAGTAATATTTAGCAGCTTAAATAAATATTTTACAAATATAAATCAATTGCAAGATGGAGTTACTTCCCTTTCTCAGGCAAATAAATTAAATACGGAAGTAGCATTGCAGGAGGGAATGAATTAAACTTTAAACCAAAGTCTGTATTGTTTGCAAAGAGCATGCATTCCCCTTTAATTCCATACCAAACTTAACAATGTCTGATGGAAAACAAAGTTATGATGGTTTAGAGAACGCAGAAATTAAATCTGGAGAGTTAAATTGGTTATGGGGAAATCACTCTATAAATGAGTTTTTTACTTCTGTGTTAACATGTTTTTAACAGGGCTTTTTTTCCTGGATTAATCTTGACCACCATAATGTCTGATTATGCTGGAGAAAGCCCCACCCCCATTTCAATTCAACACAGAATTTCTTTATTGGAATTATTTAAAAATGTATTAAAATGAAAGCAATGATTTCAGAGATATTACACATGCTAGTAATGAGAGTATTAGTTCTAGCATGAAGGCATAGTAAGATATTGAAAATTTTATTCCTAAGCTTAGTGGTATTCTTAAAAGGAAAATTCATTTAGGAAAGGGTGGATTTAATAACTTCAGTTCAAAGGGAATTTTTAAATTAATTTTGTGTCTTCCCCCTTGTATTTTGTATGACAGAAATTTGAAGGTAGAGAATGAAAAAGTCACCAATATCACAATTTTCTATCCTAATACCTATAACTTGAAATTTTCTGAAAGCATGTTGCTTCTAGTATCTCAAAAATAAGATTTGATAGTTTGAAAAATTTGTGGAGTATTAGGTACGGTTGAATTTACAAGTTGAGTACAATCTTTTTTACTTAACTCTGTCAAGGTCCAGATCAACATACATAAATTCTTTTCATATGATAAGATACCTTGTCCAATGAACTTTCAGAAAATGTATACTTTGTGTCTCTGAATTCAATTCATTTAGTATGGGATTTTGTCATTTTTGACAAGCATATGAAAATGCTAAACACGGCCTTAATTCTACCGAAAAATGCACTAGAATGAGTTCAATTAAAATAGACAAGTAATATGATGTGCTGTACAAATTACCTCCACTGTCGTCCAATGCATTACTGCTTGAAGAAGACATAACAGTATTATTATTTAGACTCGCTGTCTGGTTAATGTCTAATCCACCCATAAGAGATGGTATGTTGTTTGCCAATTCATTGTCCCACAGTTCAATTTTTGGCATAACATTCTTGGTCATTTCTTTTTCTTTCTCCCGCTGCTCTTTTTGTTTGGCTAGACGTGGTGGAAGCTTGCTACCTTTGATACTCGTTCTGCCAGTTTTAGGACTTATACCTTTTGGCCGCACAACCACCTGTGAGGGGGAAAAATAAACGGTTTTAGATAATTGATAATTGGCTTCCCTACTATTTACAATTGGCTTCCCTACTATTTACAATTGGCTTCCCTACTATTTACAATTGGCTTCCCTACTATTTACAAGTGTCTGGATTTATCAAATAAAAATCTAATTTTAGATCTAAAATTTTATTTAAATAACTTATATTATACCTTGTTAGAGTGCTCTTTTTTTTTCTGTGCTTCTTTTTCTGTCTTCTTCTGTTCAGCTTCAAGCTTCTGCTTAATTTTTAGAGTTCTTTTTGAAGTAACTTCTTGAAAGCCCTCATTACTTTCAAATAAGAAGTTAGGGTCATCAATTGTAACTTCTTGGAGGTCATCCACAACTACAACACCTGAGGAAGTTATGATACATTTTAAAAGATTAATAAACAGAAATCAGCATTTCAAGAAAAGTTTAACTTATCTTAATTTATGTGTGCTGGTAACGGGGCAGAAGGACTATATGACCTTCAGCACGAAGCCAGATTGTTTTATATTCCTGTTGCTATCATTACATCTCAGCTCTAGATACTCAGATGCACAAATGTCTTCACAGGCATTGTAAACTATTCACACGTATTGGCTCTTATTCATGAATGTAAAGGCTTAAAGTAACATTTAATTTTTTTTAAATATCTCAAAAAACAATATTTATTGTGCCAAAATAATTTTTCAGTAATCTTCATACACTAAAATTATGACAAAATAATTAAAAAAAACAAAAAAAAAAAACTATTATAACACGTCTTACAAAGACGAGAAATCACACTTAACAGGAGAAAATAATTTTCTTAAAATTACTTAAATTTCACTACGCAAAGAAATTATCCGCAGAAGGGTAGTAAGGCACTCTTTGAAGCTCAAGGATTCCAGTTAAATATAGAAGAAACATGATATTTTTCTTGTAATTTTCAAGAATTGCTTTGGGCAATGAACATTATTTTCTACTTTTTAGTGCCTTTAAACTTGTCTTTGATGGAAAGTCTTTTTTAAGATTAATTTTTTTTTTAAATTTGAACTTTTTAAATGAAAATATTAAGCTATACATTATCTACAAAAGGTTATTTTTTTTTAGCAAGGAATGTTTACAAAAACCTAGGTATAGTTACTTAACTCTTCACTCAGACATAAAACTAAATAGTAGAATTTAACACTTGCTTGCCGTGTCCATTGATATGAGTCTAATTCTCCTGCCCCAACACCTCCCCCATCCCATACCAATATCCTAAATATGGGCAGTGTTGTTTAAATCACAAACAACCCCCACTTACATTAACAACTCAGGCGACCTTACAGTTAGCACCAACAAACCATGAACCAACCGTACAAGAGTGTCACTTGTGACAATACAAAATTACACTTGACAAGCTTACATTATTAAAATGCAAAAAGAAAAAGGTCTTTAAAACCCCATATCATCAATATATTATGCAAGTCTGCAAATTAATTGGCACATTTACAGCATCAGTGGAAGCTTTTAAATGAATTTAGTGAAACCGAAAAAAAAAAAAAAATGTTTTCTGGAAACGGGGCTGAAAGATTATATTATTTTCCAGCACGAAGCCAGATTGTTTTATATTCCTGTTGCTATCATTACATCTCAGCTCTGGATACTCAGATGCACAAATGTCTTCACAGGCATTGAAAACTATTCACACGTATTGGCTCTTATTCGTGAATTTAAAGGCTTAAAGTAACTTTTTTTTTTTTTAAATATCTGAAAAACAATATTTATTGTGATAAATATTTTTTCAGTTATCTTCATTCACTAAAATTATGACAAAATAATTTTTTTTTAAAACAACTATAAGACGTCTTAAAAAGACAAGAAATCACACTTAACAGTAGACAATAATTTTCTTAAAATTACTTTAATTTCATTACACAAAGAAATTATGCGCTGAAGGGTAGGAAGGCACTCTTTGAAGCTAGTAAGCCACTCTTTGAAGCCAGTAAGGCACTCTTTGGAGCTAGAAAGGCACCCTTTGAAGCATAAGGATTCCAGTTAAATATAGAAGAAACATGATTTTTGTTATGGTGGACTAGCGGACTGAACCGTACCGATAGCCAGCCAAGTAAACAGCGCGCATGCGCAGAGAGACTAGAGGAAGAGGGTGTGTTTATGAACCGTGTTCCGGACGCAAGAATAAGGTCAGCACCTGATTGAGAACGTGTATTTATGTATATATATGTTTATGTTACTTGTTTGGAAATAAAAACAATGAAAACATAACAAAATGGTGGCCAGTATGGGGATCGAACCCACGACATTCGCGTTATCAGCCAACCCGTGTATCCACAGGACAACATCTACATCGACCAAAGCGACCAATGATCTTCTGGAGGAAGATTTTGCTCATTTCGGCTATCCACACACCATAGTCAGTGACAATGCTACTTGCTTCATCTCAGAAGAATTTCAGCATTGGTGTAAGGAGAGGGGTATTGTACATCTCGCAGGCGCTCCCTATCATCCTGCTACAAATGGAGCTGCCGAGCGACTCATTCAAAGTTTCAAGAGTTCACTGAAGAAATCCTCATTACCTTTGAAGGAATCTCTACAAGACTTTCTACGTCAGTATCGTAGGACACCATTGGCAAGTGGATTATCACCAAGCCAACTGCTGAACAATCGGCAAATAAGAACACTTATTGATACTCTAGTTCCCTCACCTGCTCATCAAGCACAGGGACAGCATCTTAAAGAAATAGCCGTCCGCAATGGGACAAACAGAAGTCCTAGCCGATCATTTAACCGGGGAGATCCATGTTACGTCAGAGTATATGGAACAGTAACAGACTCTAAACCACGATGGGCTCCCGGTACAATCATCCAAGTTATGGGTCCACGTCTCTTCAAGGTAAAGATTTATCCAAATGGTCCCATTTGGAAGAGACATTTAGACCAACTTCGCCCAAGGTATGGAGCAGAAGAAGATTCAGAACCAGGTTTGGATATAATGACAGGAAGTCTTTATCCAACAGCTCAGGCAGCCCTGAGTCATCAACCGTCTACACACCCAGCAACTCCAAGTCCACATAAGAAGAAGATTAACCCTCGACATCCAGGACCTTCAGACTATGTCCTACCCAGAAGATCTCAAAGACAACGTCGAGCACCAATGTTACTGGACTTGTAATTGTTCTGGGAGGTGTTATGGTGGACTAGCGGACTGAACCGTACCGATAGCCAGCCAAGTAAACAGCGCGCATGCGCAGAGAGACTAGAGGAAGAGGGTGTGTTTATGAACCGTGTTCCGGACGCAAGAATAAAGTCAGCACCTGATTGAGAACGTGTATTTATGTATATATATGTTTATGTTACTTGTTTGGAAATAAAAACAATGAAAACATAAAAATTTTCTTCTTATAATTTGTGAAAACATTTTCCGCACAGAATTTCTTTGAGCTATAAATTTTAAGAGCATTATTTTCTACCTTTAAGTGCGTTTCAACTCATCTTTGACGAGAGTCAAGCATTTTAAGATTTTATTACTTGGCACATTTACAGCATCAGTGGAAGCTTTTAAATGAATTTAGTGAACCAAAAAAAAAAAAAAAAAAAAAATTTTTTAGAAACGAGAAAAAAAAAAAAAGTCAAGCATTTTAAGATTTTATTACTTGGCACATTTACAGCATCAGTGGAAGCTTTTAAATGAATTTAGTGAACCAAAAAAAAAAAAAAAAAAAAGTTTTCTGGAAACGGGGCTGAAAGATTATATTATTTTCCAGCACGAAGCCAGATTGTTTTATATTCCTGTTGCTATCATTACATCTCAGCTCTGGATACTCAGATGCACAAATGTCTTCACAGGTCAAATGGAATATAATTGTCACTTTTCAATTACAAACCTTAAAAAATAAAATATGCATTTAAATTTAACTACAATACTGACCAGCTATATTGTTAATATCAATATTAGCCAGGGCATCTTTCTTGTCTTTCTCAACTTTCAGTGTCTTTGAAACATCACTAATTTCAGCTTTCTTTCCCATTTGCTTTCTACGGAGCAACAGAATTAACCAACATTATAATAGAGTCCACTAAGCATAAAAAAATTATGAAAAGTAATAATTAAAATGAAACCTGGAAATAATGAATTTTGAAATATACTCCTGGCATATGACAATAGAACCCTCTCAATCCCAAGAACCAAAACTAAACCATCGGTGAACGCTCCTTCGACTTCCATGGGCCCACGTTCTGGAACCAGCTCCCCTTCCACATCCGTCATTGTGAAACCTCGTCCACTTTTAAAAAGTCCCTTAAAACCAATCTGTTTAGGTCCGCCTATGACCTGTGATGCACGCTCCTTGCCCTGCCTCATTTTCTGTCTCGGGTTAATCCAAAATGTGTCAAAGTGTCCTCGTTTTAAAGCCATTTTAATTGTTTCTATAGTAAAGTAGTTACTATCCTAATGTCTCATTTTTATTTTAGTTAGTTTACATGTTTTTAATAATTGTAAATCGCTAAGAGCTTTAAGGTAAGCGCTATATAAAAATGCCTAAATAAATAAAAATATGAGCTTACTAACCCCACCTGAACCAGCAAATAGCACCATCACTGCAAAATTGCACTACTTTTATCTTGGTCCCATGGGTTTGTGTAATTTCCAGTAAAGTATTCTACACTCTTGTAAACTTTCAATCTTAATTTTGAAAATCTTTAATAAATATGTACAAACAAAATAACTTACTTGACATGCATGTTATTAATTGCATTATTTATTGCATTAGGATCTGTAGGAGTCACACCATCCATTCTGTAAACTACATTTTCTTTATGATTGCCAGTGCTCACTACAGCTTGCTTTTTAGGGGTTGTCCCATTTGCCGCCGATTTTGTCGGCGGCGTTGCCCCGTTTTTTTGGTTCTGTTTATTGTCTTTGTTTTGGGGATTGCGGCGCTCTACACTGTTGCGAGAGTCCTGGTTGTTCAGGCGCCGGTTATTTTGCCGGTCACTGAACGGCCGCTGATTAGAGACGCTCTTCTTGATAGTAGAGCTCTCTTTCTTGTTTTCCCGGGACTCTCGCGAATCGTTTTTTGGCTCACTGCTTTCTGATGCAGTCTCCCATTCTTCCCCTTCATTTGATGCCTGTTTAGTTAAAACTGGCTTTTTAATAACAGAGCTTGCTGGTGCACTTGTGCCACGTCCTCTTGAAGATCTAGGACGACCCCCACTTCCTCTGCTTTCTCCCCTTCCTCTACCTTCAGCTACTGCACCCCCTCTTCTGAATCTTGGTGGTGGTGGGTTTCTGTTGTCTTGTCTACGCCCTTCCCTACAGAAAAGAGTTGTACAATATAAGCCCTGTAATAGAAGCAACATAGTACAAACAGGTAAAAGCCTAGGTAACAGCAAAATTTATAGTATATACATTTTAAACACAATCATCACCTATAATTTCCTCCATCTCCTCTAAGATCTCTTCCATCACCACCTCGCTCCATGTTTTGAGATCGACCACTATGTCTACCATTGGGACCATTAAGACCTTGATCTCCATTAGCACCTCTTCCGCCATAGCCCTGTCCATTTCCACCACGGTTTGAAGGGGCTGAGGTGTAGCGATTGCCTCCTCTACCACCCCGAGAACCACCTGCAAAGGTAATAAAGCCAGTAATCATACAAAGGAACTTGCTAGTAAGTCAAGGAATTTTATTAAATTTAAGGTGGTACATTGGTTAAAATAGTTTTTTTGTTTTAGTGTGAACCCTTCTAAAATTTTGAATACCATTTACTTTTTTTTCGTTCAAATTATATGCCGCCTTAAAAAGTGGTAAAGTAAGCAAAAAATTCTGGAGAAAACGGATAGAAACAGAAGTACCCCGGGTACAAAGGTTTTTCTTCCCTTCAAAAATGTACCAAATTCTAATGTGACCCCCAGATTAATTTCATTTCAAACTCTTCCTCTCAATATGATGCAAATCAGATTTTGTCTGAAGTATCAAAGTGGTACAAATTCCAAATTTAAAAAAAAGTAAAATCCATTTTCAATTATTACACTCAAGTATTATTTGTATGCACCAATAGATGAAATTTTATTCTCAATTCAGAAAAAACAAATCAAATGTGTATTTGGGTTATTAAAAGTTAGCATAAAATTTATTTTATAAAATTGTTAAAAAATCTTACGATTTATTAATGATTTTTTTTTAAGGTTAGAGAGGCTACAAAATCTATAGTTACCTCTTCCTCTGCGAGAGGGTTCTCCTCTTGGGATAAAATTACCATTGGCTTCATCTTGTCGTACATCAGGATACTCTCTGTCCCTTTTGTCCCTGTATCTATCTCTGTCCCTGTCTCTACGGTCACTTTTTTCCTTGTGCTCTCCCTCTGGACCTTCATTTCGCTGACCATCATCACCACCACGTTGTCTGTCTCTATCACCTCTACGACCACCTTCTCGGTTGTCTGGCCTACGACGATTGTCTCTATCATCTCTACGGTTGCCTCCATCATGTCGCTTTTCTCGTACATCTTGTTGGCCTGACACGTGACTATCACCTGATGTCTTTTCTTGACCCGATTCACGTGAATCTTGACGCTGCCAAGCATCAACCTTTCCAGATTTATCATCCTTCATATCCTTTCCAAGTGGGTCTGGAGTCCAATCCGTTTTAGGAGGGTCTGGGAGGAGAGGTTTGTTCCAAACACTAGGAGGTGCAGGTGGAGGACCTTGCTGTGGTTTGCTATCATGAATCCAAGGATTCTTGGGTTCACGAATATCTCTGTTTTGTTTTAAATCCCTACTCTGTTCTGTTCCTCTCTGCCCTTGTGACCGATTTTCATCAGATCCCCTTTGACGATTATCCTCAACTCTTTGGCTTTGTTGACGATTTTCCTCAGATGCTCTCTGCCGATTATCTTCTGAACCTCTCTGCCGATTTTCATCAGTACCCCGTGGACCTTGTCTAGTATCTTCGGATCCCCTCTGCCGATTATCTTCGGTTCCCCTCTGCCGATTATCTTCAGATCCCCTCTGCCGATTATCTTCGGATCCCCTCTGCCGATTATCTTCGGATCCCCTCTGCCGATTATCTTCGGATCCCCTCTGACGTACATCTTCGGAACCCCTCTGACGTACATCTTCGGAACCCCTCTGACGTACATCTTCGGAACCCCTCTGACGAATATCTTCGGAACCCCTCTGGCGAATATCTTCGGACCCTCTTTGACGAATATCTTCAGATCCTCTCTGACGAAAATCTTCAGACCCTCTTTGACGATTATCCTCCCTTTGCTGGCGTGTATCATCAGGTCCTCTTTGTCCTTGTCTATTATCTTTAGAATCCCGACGATCTTGATCTTTTCCGCTTTCATTTTCTTTCTCTTGTCTGTCATGAGTGCCATTTTCATTAAATAAAATTCCATCCTCTGCAGATCCATCGCTGAGATCATCTGCAAGACCATGTCTTCGTCTTGAAGAACCTTTACCATAGTCTTCTCTATCATTTCCTTCACTATCATCAGACTTATGGAAATTCTTCATTAAAGGTTGCCTGTCTGATCTGCCGGAGCCCTGCCCTCCACCACCTCTTTCATAACTGCCGGGATAATAATCCCTTCCTCTGCCACGTGTACTGTAACCTCCACGAACTGAGCTACGACCTCGCCCACGGGAAACTCCTCTTCCTCTTACAAACTCCCTCCCACCTCTGCTTGGTGTGCTTCTAGGCCTATCGGCTTTGTCGCTGTAGCGATCATGATCCCTATCTCGCCTGTCACGGTCATCTGGGTGTCTCTCTCTACGATCTCTATCCTGGTCATCTTCACGCTTTTTTTTATATGGTGGCCTATTATTAAATGGACTGTCAACTCTTTCTTCAAACACTTTCTCCCTTTCTTCTCCTTCTTCTTCATCCTCCTTAGGATATGTGACATCGGTTTTCTCTTGTTCCTTGGCTTTCCTGGGAAAATATTATCATTGATTCAGAACAAACCAACATTTGAAATACAAAAAAAAAAAATTGTCCAGAGATCAGCCCATATTTATCACTGTTAATTTTAATAGTTTTACCTGTCTTGCTCCTTAACTTCCCAAGCATTTGGACGTGGCTGTTCTGGTTGTTTATTTTCTTTACTTTGAGATGACTTCACCTCTTTACCTTGATCCTGAAAATTAAAAATAAGAATTTAAAATTGTTATATATCTATAAAAAAAAACTAAAAAAAAAAAAACCACCTATTCATTAACCTGTTTGCTACTACTGCGACATACCCGCTTCATTCACCTCTTTACCTTGATCCTGAAAATTAAAAATAAGAATTTAAAATTGTTATATATCTATAAAAAAAAACTAAAAAAAAAAAAAACCACCTATTCATTAACCTGTTTGCTACTACTGCGACATACCCGCTTCGCTACTGATGCAACCGAATGCGGCATCATGTCTAGCAACGTACATATGACACACGATATTGCGAGAAGCATTCTAGCCTTGGGAATAGCTTTGGGATTTAAAGGAAGTGAGAATAGAGGTGCTTCCGTTTAAAAAAAGCGGATGTTTCTACCATTTACGGATTGAAAGCTGTATAGTGTTAAAGTCAGTCTAAGCTTAGTGAATTTGTGACTGTTTTACATGAATTATTTTGCTATGGCTTTTCAGTTTCTTGACTCTTTGATTGCTGCCTCCACTTCTAATTATCAAGTAGATAATAATTCTGATAATGAGGATGAATCAGACATTGATATTGATCCAAATACATTGAATTTAGACTCAGAATCGGAAAATAATACAGATGAAAGTGACATAGTGACGATAGCGACCCAGACACTGAGTCTTGGTCAGACAATTTGACCAGTGTAACAGATAAGATGGAGATATTTCGTGAGATAGAAGGTGGCATCCATATCCTTCCTATTGAAAGCAGTCCAATTGACTATTTCAAACTGTTTTTGACCGATGCCATGGCGGAACCTATTGTAGTGGAAACCAACAAATATGCTGAGCAACAGCAGACTGCTAAGGGCCGAAAATACACCCAGTGGAAGGCCGTCACTAACGAGGACATTTATAAATTCTTATACATGAATATTGTTTGGGCTCCATAAATTGCCCATTACTAAATTGTACTGGTCCAGTGACAAACTTTGAAGGGTCCCTACAGTTGCAGATGTTATGGGGTGCACCCGATATGAAAAATTACGACAATATTTTCATATCACTAACAGTCAGGACATTCCAGCCAAAAATAATGTGAACTACGATCCACTGTTCAAAGTGAGACCACTACTGGACCATGTTAGGAGTGTGTGTCAAACGGCGTATAAACCGCAACAACAGCTGTCAGTGGATGAGGCAATGGTTGGATTTCGTGGTCCATTATCCTTCAAACAGTACTTGAGCAACAAGCCAACTCCATGGGGCATCAAAATTTTGTGCTGCACAGAAGCCAAAACCGTTATATTCTTAACTTTCAAGTCTATACTGGCTAAAATAGAAATCCTTCAGAACATGGACTTGGATATAATGTTATGTCCAAGATGGAACCATACCTGGATAGGTATCATGAAGAGTTTTTCGACAATTTCTTTTCTTCTCCAAAACTTGCAAGGACCTCTTATTGTGAAAAACATATAGCTGTGCAACCATTAGGCCCAACAGAAAAGGCTGGCCTCTACCAAAGTCTAAACAGAAGAGGGGAAATGTTAGAATAAAGCAGAAAGGCCTAATGGTTGCCACACAATATACAGAAAAGCTTCAAGTGAACATTATATTCACCAATGCCGACCCAATAGTGACCACAGTTCAGCGTAGGTCAAAAGATGGAATGATGGATAGGCACTTAAATTCCAATGCCAGTTGTCACCTACAATTCTGGCATGTTTGGGGTGGATTTATCAGACCAACACCGCACCTATTATCCCGTGGGCCGAGCAAGCACTAAGTGGTGGAGGTATGTGTTCTGGTTCCTCTTAGATCTGTCAATGATCAATAGCTTTCTGATGTTGAAAAGTGCAAAGCCTGCTGATGTCCCAGACTCTCCAGCCCAAAACCATCTGATGTTTCAAAAGGCTGTGCTGGAACAACTTTTTACTGCAGCTACCAAATGCAGGCAGCCAGACACACAGAGTATCTCTGGCAGAGCTAGCCCATACAACAGCCAACATATGCTGAGTCCAATGACTGGAAGAAAACATCAATGTTACCAGTACTCCATTGATGGCAACAAGATGGACATTGGCTGAACTAGGGAAACAACAACTGGTTGTCATTTGTGCCAGGTTCAACCCCGCAAGGGCTACTGCTTTTCCAAATTCCATGAGTCTCTCATATCAAAGTAATATCAAACTATGGGGGTCGACGCTGCTAACATTCATCCAAATTTTTTTAAAATTTGACTTTCATGATTTACTGCAAACATAATTGTGAATCAAAGTATATTTACCAATACATTTTTGAAAAGGTTATCCAATTTTCTATTTTTTAATGCATGTTTTGTTAATATAGGTTTATTGTTAAGTTGTATTTTAGAGTGATGTCCCTTTGCTTTGTATTTCAGGGGGTGTTTTGTTGTTTGTGGTTAGCAGCGAATGAGTTAAATAGACCCAACATTCTACCTCTGATTAAAATCAGTATCAGTATTCAGTGTTTACCTTGCTCACATCCCTTTTCAGACCTTGAGATCTCTCAAATACTAGACTCTCTTTGGGCGAGTCACTTTTTCTCTCTCTGTCTTTATCAGATGAAGCAGCTGAACTACTTGACATATTGGATGCACTTCGTTTCAAAGAAGTCAAAGTACTTTTGCTCTGTGCAGATTGTTTGCTTTGGTCAGCAGGGACAGGAGGCAGTGCTTCATGTTCTTAAATATCAATTTCATTTTAGTAAGATAAGAACAAACATCAAAATGCAATATTATTTAACAGCATGTGTCTATACTATGCATGTGAAAGTTGCTACAATATTTATAAACATATGTAAAAATTGCTAATCTTAGTATTGCAAGATTTTAAATATATTTTTAAGGATTAGATATTGTTTTACTTACTTTGAGCTGCCTCTCTCTGCTTTAGCTCTTCAGATGAATAGGCTCTAAATTTTGGAGTTGGTCTTGCTTGACCATCACGCCTATAACCCCGAGTGTAATGCTCTTGGGGTTCCTCTCGATCAAGGCTATCATCATTATCCAGCTTAGTTTCAAATTCATCATCTTCATATTGGTCTCCAACTTCATCTTTGCTGGACTCTTTGGAGTATGAGCGACTAAAACAAATAAATGCATTTCTAAATAGGTATTCATAAATACTATAAATAAGACTAATTATAGCCCAACAAAACAAGTGAGGAGGCTTTGAGTGAACTTCCCATCTATTAAAATTACTTGACAAAAAATGCTTTCAAGTAACGCTCTTTAAAAGAAGCCACATTTGTTTTATTGTACTAATATAACTGTAACTGAACATGTTTTTAAAAAATACAAATTTTTCTATTTCACAAAAGAAAAATTCTGCAATTTAAGAATTGAATACTATCATTGCTTACTACTCTAAAAGCTAACTTTGGTATCTTCTAGTTATTAAAAATGGAAAATATTGGAGTGAAATGTGTCACTTTAGAAACATTTTTATTAATAATTGGTGAGAGAAAATTCTGCTATTTAGTGTTAAAAATTAGGACATACTTTAATTCCCAGTCAGCTGAAGTTTTACTGATACTTCGTTCTGATTTATGGTCCTCTTTATCCAATACTTTAGGGCGTTCATCTAAAGAATCTCTCTGCAAAAGAGTTGGCCTTTGTTCAAGCTCTTTAGGAGCTACATCTCCCTCTGCAGGCCTTTCTTCATCTCGACTTTGACGGTCAAAATCCCTGAAAATAAATAGGTAATGATCAATAGCAAATAAAATGAAATCAATAGTTTCATAATATGGTTAGTTTCAGAATACATAAATACAATTACTTGCCTTCTGTCATACTCAAAACCAGCATAAACCCTCTGATCATAAAAGGGATGGCGCCTCATTTCATCAAAGTGTCCTGGAATGGTAAATATTATTGTTAAAGAAAGAAAACACAAAATTTTTACAACTCTATATTTTACCTAAAATCTAAGGAAAAGAATTAAATTTATGCTAGAGCTGTTTCCAGTGTTCTTACAAGTAAAAATATACAAGGACCATTCATCCTTAAATCCTCTTAAAAATCATAAATATTAATATACCTGGATGTGGCGCTCCAGAATATCTTTCAAGCCATCCAGTTCTTAGATCAGACCTTTCATACTGATCAGGGTGCCTCGTTTCACAGTCTTGATTATCATTTCCAGAACCATGGCTGTCATTGCGTCGTCTTGTAATAGGAGGACCATACATAGGCATACCTGAGGAAGGTATGAACATTACCTAACACAGTTTCCAAGAAAAATTTACTCAAACTAAAAACTTAATAAATTTGCGAAGAATTATATAATTTTTCTTCACAAAATAACCATGTATAGACCAACCTCTTTTACCCTTAACAGGTTAACATTTAGACATATGATATCACATGAAACAAACCTTGCATGTCCATTGGTGGTGGGCGATGACCAAATCTTGGATCCATAAATGGGGGCATTCCTGGCCAAGGCCGAGGATCATAAGGCCACTGCCCTTGACCAGGTCTAAAAACTTGAGGCATAGGGGGACCTTGAGGGTGTCCACCAGTGCTTCCACTTACAGGACTTGGAGGCTGCTGACGCTGATTTTGACCAAGTGCAGGTTCTTGCTGTTTTTGAAATCTTGGTGGCACATTTCTAACATAAGCTTTATTTGAGGCAGGCTCACTCTAAAAGGGGAAGGAATTAATAATACAGCCGATTAAAAAACATACTAAAAATAGTCAAATACAGTGGCTTTCAACAGACAGGTGCCGGCTTGAAGGAAGTTCCAGCCAGTCTTAGTTTCTAGCAAATTGCACAATTGATGATTATTCAATTATGGTCCTCAAACACACACTTAAATAAAAAATTAGCAAAGAAAAATTACCATTTCGTTTGCTTATTATGCTAAGGACGACACTAAAAGCGTTTTGAATTTTGAAAGAGTTCATGCACTAAGGTATATACTGTATATTCGAGTCAAGCCAGCGTGATAAGGAGACAACACTGGGTAAGGGGCAACAAAGTAGACATAGGAGCCAGAATGATCAATTCATTGATCGTGGGCCCTCAAAATAAAGAAGAAAAGAAGTATGGGGTGGGAGTGGATAAAGGCAGCGGAAATAGAAGAAAGTGATGTTTAAGAGGACAGGTTGTTAGAGAAGAGTTGGATTGTTCGTGGTGAGGTGGAGGGAGAATGTGTGGATTATCTTAGGGGAGAGACCAGGGAAGTAAAGATAATTGGTAAGAGAGGAGAGTGCAGTAGAATTTGTAGGTTAAATTAGGGGTGTAGACTGGAGAGATGTTGGGGAAGGTACAAAGCTTTGATTAAAACACTAAGGTAGTGGAAAGGATAAGAGGGCAACCCATGTGGTGAGGGTTGAAAGTTTAGGAGGAAAGAGGGTTAGGGAAAAAACCAGGGTTGGCAGGAGGTGCCTAAAAACATAATAATATAACTTATAAATTAAATTCAATGTTTTTATTATTTAAATTAAACACAAAAAACTTGTTTTTAAATTAATTAATTGGCAATTTGCACTAGGTGTAAAAGGTTTAACAGCTTTAAAGTGAAGCTGGAAATTTTTGTTTATTTTATAATTCTTGATCAAACTAATGAAGAATATAAAAAGCAGGCTACCTGAGCTGGTGGTGTTAGATTTGTAGGTCTATCTCTGTATCTTGACTCTCTTGGATCTTTGTCACTTGATTCACTAGTGGTTCTACTGTCTCTGCCTTCACTTTCTCCCTCCTTTCCCTGAAGTAAAAAAGAATTATTTTAATTCTTTTGAAAAGTAAATAATAGAAGCAATGAGAAACTTAAAAAGCAATGAATAAAGAATATCTATATAGAACTATGCTAACGGCATACATCATCTTTTTTCTTTGTGCGAGCATCCAACTGCCTAAGTTTTTCTGCCGCTGCAGCCCTTTGCTCAGTTTCTTTCCTCTTTTCATTTTCCTCTCGCCTCAGCCTAGCCCTCTCAACAGCTGTATTGATCTCTCCCTCATTTGCCCTGCGGCGGATTCGCCAGTGCTCATCTTCATCATTCTCCCCAGGTTTGCGAGGTGGCATTGCACCAGGACTAGATACAGGGGGAGGTGGTGGACCATAAGGTCGCTGAAGAAAAAATAATTACCTATCAATAAAATTATCAGATTTTATAAAGTCAACACTGGTAATTATATTTATTGTCCTTGCACTCCTACAAAAATGCTCAATACACATCTAAGCACATAACAGAATTTTATGCTCACACAACTTTCTTTAGAAATTAACATTCATCTTAATTTTTCAACCAATGGTAATATAGGATATTTAAAATCATTTTATTAATTACAATTATAATTTAGTGGGAATGTTCATAGCTTTTTACAGACATGTCAAAAAAAATTACACTATATCTTTAACATTTCCTAAATAATCAACCATAACTTTTCATAATAAATTCAGACAAATAAATTTTTCAGGCTGAAAGACTTTGGATGGAATAAGTTATCTGTGAATCAGAGTAAATCCATTAGGCAGAAAAGGGTTGAAGAACATTATAATTTTATAAATCTCAATTTTAAACCTTGCAATTATTTAGAAGAAAAAAGGTCTTACCAATTGAGGTGGAGGCATTCTAAAAGGATATGGTGGGGCTCCCCTAGGTCCCATAAACTCATAAGGATGCATTGCCCAAGCTCGCTAAAAAAAGAAAGACATAGTTTAATTTTCTAGGAAAATAAAAATTACATGCATGTTATTAATATTTTTAATAAATGAAAACACCATCAGATGAATATAGTGTCATAAAGTATCAAACATGTCTAAGCTAATCATCACTTGGTGCACAATTTGATAGAATGCAATCTGAAAAATTATTTCTGCTAAAATTTCACTTATAAAAAATTTCTGCTATGTAGCTTATAGATCCAGTTTTCTTTTATTTTATCTTCAACAATAATAAAGTTTATCTTAGAGAAGCATCCAGAAAAAATTCACTGTTTAGTTTGTTAATCACAGAATATAATTCTAAAGCAACTTACTGCATCCATGCCTGGGTGTGGAGGTCTGGGCCCTCCTCTATAGTGTGGTGGTGGAGGCCCATGTGGCCATGCTTCACGAACCATAGGAGGACCTTGCTCATTCTAGGATTAGCAGCAAAAAAAGGGGTCATATTACATTAATGAATATAGCTCCAACATTACACTAATTTCCAGTGATTCATACTACATGTACACTGCGTCAGAAAAAAATGGAAACCCTTTTGATGATTGGTCAGTGATGAGCACTTCTTGAAAACTGTGGTGTTGAAGACAAGGGTGGACACTTCGAACACAAATTATATTTTAATAAAAATGTAACATTAGGTTGGAATATTAACAATTAGTTTTCACAATTATAAATAGCGTCTCTTTTTTTTTTTTCTCTTCCGGACACAGAGTGATAGAAATATCTTTCACATTTAAACAAACCTTTTCTTTGTCATCTTTTCTATCTTTGTCAGCTTCTAGTTCCCTTTGATGCTCCTCATTTTCTTTCCGGAGTCTTCGCCTCTCTTCTCTTATCGCTCTGTCTCTGCTCAGAAATAAGATTAAAGTGAAGTACAAATATTAAAGTAACTCTCCAGACTCTTAGGCATTAGATACCAGGTTGACGTTTTTCATAAGCGTATTCAGGCCAATTTTGTTTTAAAACCCAAATTACTTTGGAGTATTTTTACACGTAAAATTTTTTAATTGGATTTAAGAAAAGGTTATTCAACCAAGCACTAATACACTAAGTGTAACTCACCTTGGGCTTTGGGATTCATCATCCTCATCACTGAACACCAGTTTTTCACTGAAAAAACATTCAGAAAAACCAAATTAAAACACCTACCCTATGGTGAGCTACAGGCAGAAGATCTATTCAGTTTCAAGGGTTACAAATAAGGCTTATAAATTTTGTATAACAACATCTAAAACCCATTATGTGTTTAAAGTACCTGTAGTCTATTTCTCCTTGAGGGCCTGCCCAGCCACCATCATTGGAATCAGATTTGAGCAGTTCTTCAAAGTCTTTAAGTGCCTTATCTGACACTATAGCTGGTCGTTTTTGTCCCTCTTCACCCTCTAAATGCCTCTGGTGGGACATGGATGGGGGTGGACCTCTAAATCTGGTAAATAAAAGTAAAATTTTTGATCATCAGATTTATTTAAATACTTGTAGAATTAATTTATGGCTGTTGCAACTCCCCTAATGCATTTAGTCGCAATTGTCTGGAATAAGTTAAATCCAGATTAGTTTATGCTGAGTTTGTATATTTTACATAATTACTGTTTTCAAACACAAGTATATTTTACAAGTATAGTTATTACAAGAAAATAATGCTTGCTCAGATTAGTTAATATTTTAATCAGAATTTCATTGGATTGACAGATAAATAAAATCATCATAGCAAGAATATATAATAAGGCTCTGGTATTGATATTTTTTAAGACTGTGACTTTCTTCTCGAGTAATAAGGCTAAATTGAGGTGTGAACTGGAACCATCTCTTAATACTGTGTTAAACCATTTTGGCATTAGATATCAAGTATCGTAAAACTAATATTTTTAATGCAATGTTAAAAAGTAAATTAATAATTAGAAGATTATCTTCATTAACTTCAAATAATTTGTTGCAAAAAAATTATGATTCAAACTCTTAGAACATTAACTACACAATGACAGCTTGAGAGAACTTTTCCAGATGGCAATTGTAGTCACCCACAATATATTAACCATGTTTTTTTCCAGATCCAATATATTCCAGGAAAAAAATAATTTCGCTCCCTACCACTACCATATCAGACTAGGTCGTTACCAGAATTAATGAATATCTCAGACACTGATATTCATGCAATACCATACGTAAATAAAATAATTTTACTGTCAGCTACATAAATGTTTCCTTCTGCAGGTCTATTTTCCATGTCACTAAAATAATAAAAAAATATTTAATATTTTTTTAAATGCTTTCTGTGTATGGGATAATTGTACATGGCAAACTACACTAGAGTTTGAATATGATTTCTTTTGTCACCATCAGAGAATAAATGTTTCATATAATTTCAAACATGTCTAAGTAAAACATCATTTGGTGCAAATGAAACTTGTGTTTACCAAAAAAATATCAAATTTATACCAATTATGAAAGAAATGAGAGCAATCATTTTGATACAATCAAGGAGTACATATTTGAGACTGATGGGATAAACTGTGACTTGGTGAAAGGAGCTTTAAAATGGAAAATTTAGAAAACTTGGAGATACTTTAAATAGATTAACTTATCTAACATCTCTTACAAAACTAATAAGAGTATCTTAAATAGTGTTAAGAAAAACCATGTTTCCATATTGGTGCAACACTAGCCTATCGTTTCATTTATATAAATGAACATAAAAATGTCATAAATAAATCTAACATTGCTCCGGTTTCTAATTGTAATTATAGTTTATCATCGGATTGACAGAAAACAACATAAAAAATTAAAATAAGTGTGTTAAGCCTTCAAAAAAGTAAATATATACAATGCACAGGTAAATGGTTCCCATAAATTCGCCTCAAAGCATTCAATCATGCTTCAGAACAAGACATTTAATGCAAACCCCTTTTAAGGTGCAGGATTGGCTAAAAATCAGGGAATCTAATCATCCCAAGATTTTTTTTAATATAACAGAACAATAAAAAAAAAGCATCTTTAAAAACTGGAATATCACACAGCCATATGTTTCCACTGACCAGGACAGAACACTAGGAAACATGACAAAGCAATCAAAAGGGTTGATGCCAATGAATATGTCTACATGTTCTTGTCTATGGATAATTTTGCTCAGAATTCAATTGATAATCAATAGTTTTTCATTGGATTGACAGATAAAGATCATCACAGCAAAATTTAAAATTAAAATGTAAAAATCATGTTCAGAAGCTTAATCAAATTAATAGTGCTAAATGTGAAAGCTCAATTCACCAAAAAAATAATCTCCTAGTAAACTAATAAACAGAACAATTACTTTCAGTTCCAGTTGTGGTGGGGGAGAAAAAAAAACAACCCCACCAGCTTCTCTTTGGAAAGTACCATATGAAAGAAAAAATGCTATAAACATGCCAATATGTCAGTGTTATGGAGCAGCGAGAGTTGGGTCTCATCTTGCAACCTCTCCTGGCTTGTGACTATTATGCCACAGCAAATGTATCCATGAGTAAATTGATAATAAAAACAAGGGCATTTTAACTGACAAACAAATTTTCATAAATGTATTACAAAGAAACTAAATACAAAAAAGTAGAGGTGAGTTTAATAAAATAGTTTTGTTTGTATATCAAAATGTAATTAATAATAGTCATCGGATTGACATATTTTAAACTCATCATCACAACAACAAAAGATACAATTGATGATAATCAAAAGAATAGGGCATTACACCTGACTATCAACACATGTTAAAAGATGTATAATAATGAGCTTGATTACAAATTAGAAGAGGTGTGACAATCAAAGTTGCTCAGATATCATTTTGTAATCAATATTACTCATTGGATTGACAGATATCTAACTCATCACAGCAACAACAGAATAATGTCTCAATCATATTTTCTGTACAAACAAATCTATGAGAAGCTTTTAAGTTAAATTTATAAAGATTTGAAAAAGATTAGACAAAAAAAAAAACACCCTGCTTCCTACCATACTTTATGGCTAAGCTATTACAATATGATGAAAATGATTAAACTATGCATATTAAAAACAAATTAATTTGAGATAAAAGCTATTTTAAAAAATCTGAACAGGCCTAAAACTCACCTAGCCTCATGAGGATAAGGTGGTCGAGGAAATCCAGGATAGTTTGGTGGGTAAGTTCCTGGAGGCATTCTCCCAAACATCTGAAATTAATTAAGCAATGTTGCATACACCATACTGACCAACAAAAATCTTAATAAAATACAGTTTGTCTGTGTGCCATTAGCCTAATCTTAAAAAGAAATACAAGTTGGAAACTTACATATGGAGGCATCATGCCTCTATATTGTGGTGGTGGCATTCCCATGGGTGGGCCCATAGGCATTGATCCATGTGGAGGCCCATGACCTGAGCTTGGGCGAGGTGGCATAGGCTGAGAAGATATTTCAGCCCCCGCCCCACTGCCACTCCCACCGGACATCTGGGGGCCATTGGACTGTGTTTCGATCAGGTTCAAGCTTTGAGTGTTCATAGTGGGTTCGTCTTGTTTGGGCTGTGGCACTGCACGCCCGCCGCCCTCTCGCCAACTTGCAACATCTATTCATAATAATAAACAAAATATTTATTGAAACACATCTCAAAGATATAACCATCTGATGAAAATTGGGAATACAATTTTTTATTATTCATAATAAAAAATCAAATGCTAACTAAATTCTATTATTTGAACCACACAAAACATCATTACTCTGTGGTCGCAAGCTTGGCCCTGGTCCATATTGAGTATCCTTGATGTCTTCTTCTTTTTTGATAGGCTGTGCTGTTTCTTTGCTCTTTTCCTCTTGTGCTAAACTTGGAAATTCCTCTTGAAATAATGGTGACTGATGACTTACTAATCCCCCTGAAACAAAATTTACGGAAATTTTCTTGTATTAAAAATGTGTAAACCAATTGCTTGTTGAGAGCAGTTACTAAGATATATTCTAAGTAATTTAAAAATGGTAATAAACCAGTTACTTGTTACCCTTACCCAAATTGAAAGAAGAGGTTCCTGTAGTTAAAAAAAAAAAAAAAACCTACCTTGTTGGATGCCCCCTGTAACATTGCTCCAAGACCTTACACCCGTACTGCTTTGCCCCCCAGAAGGGGTGTTGGTCTAAAGAAAAAAATAATAAAACATAACATTATTTAAAGGAAATTTGTAGAGTAAGAAATAAATTATGTACAAAAAAACAACAACACTAAGTGGGTAATGAAGTGTAATCCAATGAGGAAAGGTAGGAAGCTACGAAAAGAAGTAAAATAACCCTGAAGAAAATTATTTCATTACTTTTGATAAAATGGAAGCAACAACGGTGAATTTTTCAAATTTTTAAATAAAAAATATAACATTTTAAATATAAATATATATAAAAATAGTATGATCAGCTTCTGGTAATTTTGAATAAAAAATACATACTGGGTTAAAAAGTTGTTTTTAAATATGTAAACAAACCATCAGTAAGTGGGTGATGAGAAGTCATCATGGAGTAAGACAACAACAAGCATCATTTGGTTTGATAAACACTGAGAAGTGATAAGTGTTACTGTTGAAAACACTAACAACTACTGGTAAAATGTATCAACTTTGTATGAAAAGTAGAATGATTTGACAGATTCAAATTTTCTATTTAATTAATTCCAACATTAATTTTACTAAAACTGGGATTTGAAATGGTAAAAACAGTTACAGACATGTAAAATACATCTCTTATAACAAACCATCAGTAAGTGGGTGATGAGTAGTCATCATGGAGTAAGACAATAACAAGCATCATTTGGTTTGATAAACACTGAGAAGTGATAAGTGTTTCTTATGTGCATGTTATATGACTAAGAAAGGGTAAAACAGACATACTTCAGACTAAGTTTTAAATAGACCTTAAAGGCTCATCCGGCTGTATATGTTGACAACATAAACAGATTACTGTTAAAAACACAAACACCCACTGGTAAAATGTATCAACTTTGTATATAAAGTAAAATGATTTGACAGATTCAATTTTTCTAATTAAAAATTATTAATTTTACTAAAACTTGGATTTGAAACGGTAAAAAATAGTGATAGACGTGTAAAATACATCTTTTGTAACAAACCATCAGTAAGTGGGTGATGAGTAGTCATCATGGAGTAAGACAATAACAAGCATCATTTGGTTTGATAAACACTGAGAAGCGATAAAGTGTTTATGTCCATGTTATATAACTAAGAAAGGGTAAAACAGACATACTTCAGATTAGTCTAATTCGACCTTAAAGGCTCATCTGGCTGTATATTATATGTTGACAATATAAACAGGTTACTGTTAATAACACAACCAACCACATATAAAGTAAAATGATTTGACAGATTCAAATTTTCTATTAATTCAAAAATTATTAATTTTACTATAACTTGGATTTGAAATGGTAAAAAACTGTGATAGATGTGTAAAATACATCTTTTATAACAAACCATCAGTAAGTGGGTGATGAGTAGTCATCATGGAGTAAGACAATAACAAGCATCATTTGGTTTGATAAACACTGAAACTTCATTTACTAATTTTTCAAATGCTGAAACTAAACCAAACTCAAATTGTAGAAATCATTTCTTGTGGATGATTACTAACAAAAGTGAGAAGCTTGCAAACAAAAGCGAGAGGTCGCAGCACCTGTTCTATTAATAGCGAACCTGCTCTCGCTGAATAGGCTTTCGTATGTTCTTAAATGCTGAATTTTTTTTTTAAAACTCAGAATCCGTATTTGAATGAACTGAACTGGCAAATCCGGAGTGAGAGAAAATAAAAACTTGCGAATCCAGAATCCCAGAAAAGTGGCACCCCTGGTTAGCTGAGTGGGAGCTGAGCTGGGACATGGAATTTCAACCAGTGAAGTGCCAGGCCCTGTTATTCTTCAGAAGCAGAACCCGTCCACGCCACTCTTAAGAATATGGCCATATTCTTGAGTTGATTCCTTTGTAAGGTACCTCGGTGTTAACATTCAAAGGAAGTCCACTGGGAAGAGCACATCAACATTGTGTGCAACAAAGCAAACCCTAGGGTTCCTGAGGCAAAATCTGAAGATCCGCAACTCCAGCGTGAAAGAAAACGCCTATAAAGCCTTTGTTCGGCTGCTTTTAGAGTATGCTTCTTCAGTCTGCTTTTAGAGTACACTTCTTCAGTCTGGGACCCATTGCCCCAGAAGAGCATTGACAGGTTGGCGGCAATCAAGCGACGGGCAGCACGCTTTGTCCTGAACAGCTACAGAGACACCTTAAGTGTTGGCAGCATGCTGAAACTGCCTGTCATGGCCTTGTCACTGTCTAGGGAGAGGAAGAGAGTTCCTGTTCAATGCTGGAGCAGTGGACCAGCCCATTCTTTATCTTGTACCAGCCCAGTGTTTTCAACTAGAACTCAGTACAGGAACTCCTCATTCCTGATAAAGACAATCTTCCAAAAGCAACAATGAAGGCTATTACACTTGACATTTGCATCTATTGTCTCCTGTCTTCCAACCCCCAGTTCATAATACCATCGCTGATTAGCCCTTGCAATCAGTGAAGTATCCCCTTCAAAACCATGTAGTTACATTGCAAACCCCTCTGAAACATAGGAGCCAGAATGATCAATACATTGATCGTGGGCCCTCAAAATACAGAAGAGAAAATGTATCAAGATAATACTAGGAAATATGATGAATTTTGCCCATATGTGGATAATTGCTTAATTTATTTAGTACAAATGAGTTTAAAATATAGTGATAAAAGTCTAATATACGTCTCTTAAAACAAACCATCAGTAAGTGGGTGATGAGTGGTCATCTTTAAGTCAGACAAACATAAGCATCATTTGGTTTGATCAGAATTTCCACAAACAGAACAAAAAAGAACTGAAGCGATAATAAGTGTTAGCTATATATTTATGAGCGGATAAAATTAAACAGGATTATAATGCAAATGAGTTCAGAAACTGTACAAAAATACAGTGAAGGAAATGTAAAATTGTAATTGTAAAAAAATAAAAATAGTATCATGAAAGACCTTTACTTTTTTAAAAATTATAGCGCTACGGTTGGGTTAGGTGATTAAGAGTAAACCATATTTTAAAACAATAGCTTGGTGAGGAAATAGAAGCAAGTACAGCCACAGTAGTCTAACCTTGAACCTTGCAACTGAACCCTCAAATTAGCCACTGATTGGTCACTATCAGGTGTCATTATTGTAAAAACTAAATAGCTTTTAGATTTTTTAAAGACTGTCCTATCCACTCGAACCATAGCAGAGATCACATCACAGATGTATTTAAAGATTAAAACGAGTTTCATTTGGCTGTGTCGTGTTTTGATTCTTCTCAGATGTTTATATTGTGTTTCCAGATTAGCTTTTCTTAAAATTTAAGTTTTGTAGACCAGTTTTGAAAATGAACCAGGTACTGGTGCCAGCTTTATTTCTTTATTTGACCATAAATATTCACGTTATGCAGAACAACAACACAAGGCTTGCAGACTGGTGCCAGTCCATGGACCACCATATGGGGAACATTTTTCTATATGATTTATTATAAATTACTGAATTCTTTGATTTACAACACCAAAGCTCATTTAGTAGATAATTAAGACTGAGAACGCTTTAAATTTTTTTAACAATAACTGTACAAGTAAGTGCCTGAAAGGAAATATGTAATGCAAACCATCAGTAAGTGGGTGATGAGTAGTCATCATAGTTAACAGAAAATTATAACCATCATTTGGTTTGCACTTTCATCTTCAGACACTGGAGTTACAAGTTCAATTAATCTAATTTCACCAACTCCTTTTTGCCAATATCAAGTTAACAACATTTTTAAACCAAAAAATGATAAAGTTCTATAGTAAATAAGTTTTATATGATGATTAAGTGTTCCGTTATTATCTCTCAATGTTATATTGAATTTTCGATCAGATACAAATCATTCCTCCCAGTTTAATATGTCTTAGTTATTTTTTAAACAATTTGTTACCATATAATGGTAACATTAATTGCAGATAATCTGCAAATAATTGGTGCAAGCCTGGCAGTAACCATACATGAAGTTACAATTTCTAAATGCACTTCATTTTTCAAGCCATGCAATAGTTTTAAGAAATCACCACGAGAGTACTTAAAACACTTCCTAAAAATGCTGGGTGTAAAATTTACACACCTTGGTAGCTGTTTGTTGTGGTGGCACCTGTTGTTGCTGCTGCGTGGGCGTGGCCTGCAGCGGCTGCGACGATGGCGGCTGAGCTCCACCTCCACTGCCCTCTTTCTTCTCTTCCTTCGACACCCATCCTAAATTATAATAGATAGCTCTTAAATTTAAAAAACTTAATTTTGTATGCCCTACAGTTAGGGGGTACTTTAATAAAGTTACAGAGTATTTATCACAGAGTATTTATAAATAGACTATAATTATTTAAACTTACCCGAACCCCCACTCGGGACAAGGCTGATGCTGGGGTCGTTCCCGCTGTTCTCACTCTTTAAGCTGGGTAAGTTTGCCGGAGGCGGCATACGCCGCAAGCTGGACACTTTGCCCAAGCTTTGAAGCCCATGTTGCCGAGGTACTAAAAGATTTCAAAAAGATCATTTTAAAACTTCAAGACCACCAATATTGCAACAGAAATGAATACTGGTACCTAATTTATCTCTAATAAAATAACAATGGATTCTCATCTTTTCATTATTCGATGAAATGGTTTCCATTTGAACTGCAAATTTGTATTATGTTTATTTATGTATTATTTATGTACTAATGGATAAGAAATAATTGAAAAATTTACCAGCTGACTTCTGAGTCTCGACACTTTTCCCCTTGTACAGAGTGTTGATGTCTATACTCTTGTATTTACTTTTATTCTTCTCCCCTTTACTGCCAATCCCCGAAATAGTGGACATTTTGCCGAAGCTCAAACATTGAAGGTTTTATCATAGACCCTCTGAACGAACCGCAAGTATCTGAAAAAGAAAAAAAATTAAATTTTATTTTTTGAGATACCTATTTGAGGAATAATTATTTAATTCTCCATTTTCACATTTGCTTTGTGTTACTGTGTAAAATGCATAGGTTTTATTTTTAAGTAGTCCATAATGACTCCCCTCCCCAGAAAATTATGGTGAAATGTCCCATGAAATGATTAGGTACTGTAGTACAAAAAAATTATCAAAGTACAGGATAATAGAACAAACTTTAATTTATAAAATGAAACCAAAATCAATTTCTTTAGTAGTTTTTAAGCTATAAATTTTCGTAGTTAGAGTTTGTGGCTTTGATTAAAATGCAGTTGGCGTCAGGGCCGGCAATGTCTTTCATAGTATATAGGTCATGGAGGTTCCCAGGTCAACTACCCGCCATAGTTTCAAAAGACTTCAAAATTTAGCTCTGTATTTATTATAAGTATTTTTTTCCTTCTCATTTTTGTCTTGAAAGAAGGGCAGGGGTCTAACCGGCCCCAGAATTTAAAAAAATAAATTTTGTATTGAAATGTCCTGTTAAATTGCGACATTATAGAAATGAATAGCATACTGATACTTCTTTTTCAACCAATAAAAAATAGCACTTTTAACCATGCACATTAGGGGTGTGCCGGATCCGTTTTTTCCAATCGGATCCGGATTTTCTTATGTGAAATCCGCCGGATCCGGATTCGGGAATAATCCGGATTCCGGTTTCTCCCGGATTTTGGTACTATTGGTAGATACTTCGGTAAGTCAAGGTGGACTACTACTTTTTGTGTATGGGAATTCGCAATCGGCGCCAAAAAATCCGAGTTTTTAATTTTCCGATGTGTGTCTATTTATTATTATATTAGTACTTTCGATATATATTTGAGTTCCGTTCCATTTGGATAAGTGTCTTACGAGAGACGCCCTGTTTCTACGCATTCGCAGCATGTCATGCAGCTCGCTCAATCTAATTTCGCCATGGCCCCCCCTTTTTAATGGCGGAAGATGACGATACTTAGGAAATATTAATTTATTATCACTATTTACATCAAAATAATTGATAACTTGTGTTTCAGAATGCATTTTAAAGACATTTAAACTGGAATGTTTTAATTTGAGCTTTAACAACCTGGTAGAATCCATATTATAAATGATCAGAATTTACCGTGTGCAACACGTTGTCATTGGCAACCATTCACAGCCACTTGCATAACTGTATCGTAGTACTACCTCAGAGTTTCATTCATAAGAGTTTGCCGTGTGCAAAAACTATTAAACCATTGGTCAGGGAAAGCTTTAATTAATTATTCATGTGCCAAAGTTGAAAGTTTAAACTAAGTCTAAACAGTATTTTAGTGATAAGGCAGGGAATGCGTTGCCTTATATAAACTATATAGTCATTGCGCATGACGGGATTGGCGGAATGAGATCACAGAATGTGGAGATGCAGTCCATGTTAAAAAATGACAAACCAAGTCGTACTTTAAAAATTCATAACTTTAAAACTACAACAGCTAAAAATATGATTTTGGTGTTATAATTCTTTAAAAAATTACATCTTTTCAACTATGCCATTGGTTTATTTTTACAAAAAGTTTAAATTTTCTTATCAAAGTCCCTACACTATTGGCCACTATTAGCGGTGCTGACTCTAGCCTCTGGTATGTTCGGAATATTAAACATTAAACAAGCTCAACGCTCGAAACAATCGATTAATGTATCGTGATCGTGTGGAATTCGGGAAAGAGAATTACTTGTATTTCAGATTATGATCCGGTGAGTCACAAAATCTGGCAAATTCCGAAATCCGGTATATTCCAGATTCCGGTCGTTCCAGATACATGTAAATCCGGCGGAACCGGATTTCACCGCATAGTGCAAAATCCGGCGGAACCGGATTTCACCGGATAGTGCAAAATCCGGCGGAACCGGTTTCCGGCACACCCCTAATGCACATGTCTTTCTTTTTTTTCCAGTGTTCATCTCGAGGTGTCAGCAAGGATGGATTTCTCTTTTTCTTTCATTTGAACCCTGTAAGTCGAATTTTAATAAAAACTGAAGGGCAAATTTGTTTTTCATTTTAACTGTATGAATCGATAGATTGTTTTTTAACTCATTCCAGACGGTTTCGACTAAATGTGCTCTTCGCATGTCCCAACAGATGAGTCCAAATATGTCCCTGCACATAGCATCCCTCAAGACTTCTGGCGATTACATGATTTGAATTTAAAAAAACAGATTTTTAAAAATCTTGTTTCCGTTTCTATTTGTGTGTGCTTTAGTGCTGTTAGTCTATATCTAGCATGTGTTCGTCCGAAAGGTCATTATTTTTTCGCTTTTAACCATTACAGTACACGGCGCATCTTTTTGCAGTGACCTAATTTTTCCATGTGACCCAAGCGCGCCTTTTTTTCACCAGCCAATCGTTTTCCCTGTGGCCCAAGCGCGTCTATTTGCCACATAGAGGGGTATCTAATAAAAACACAGAAACTAGGATATAACCTTTCACCCCAGTGTCGGGCAGAATGTTTATTCGTTAGGGGAATAGTCAAATTTTAATTTGCCTTTTAAATTATGAAAATCGACCAATTACTGAGTTTTTTTAACGGATCTGTATTTGTTGTTTCCATGGCGCTACCTAATCGCTATTATTGATGGCAACTTACGCCCACTTGATGAAACCTTTTGTTCTGAAAATATTATTGAGTTTTAATTGAGATTAAAAATGTTTTTTTTAACACCCTTATCCATTTCTGAACAGATAATTCTCTTCATGTTATCAATTGTTTGAAACAAAAAAGTTACAAAATAAATTAACAATCCTATCAAATTTTGACTCATTCCAAAATAATGTCTGGGCCACAGGGAATAATTAGCCAATTAATGGCCGGTACTGAGACAATAAAAGCAAAAAGTAGATCAGTACCGTAAGGGTTAATGTTATATTTCTATCAAACATTAATTTCTGGATACATTAAACTTTAATTCATTTATATTCATCAGCTTAAATCAGGTCCAGTCACCATAAGTCCAGTGTTGGGATCCCCCAAAGTGACATCACTGCACTTACGGGGAGACAACTCTTGGCAAAAACTCAAGCAGTTAACTGCACATTTACCGAGTTCGTCTTTTCTACCATGGGTCTTCTCTCCACATTCTGGCTGTAACCCCAATCTGCCGTTTGCACCATAACTTTTGTTTTAATGATAATATTATACAACATGTATTTTCAGTATATATGCTAATTTTAAAAAGTAATTTTAAAAATTTTATGCAATTATAAATAAATTGTAACTATCTAACTATGAAAAATGTATACCAATGACAAATCAAGTAGTAGTCTCCTCTTTTGTTATTGAAATTTTAGTTTAAGGGTTATTCGATTTTCAACTAATCAAAGGCAGCACTTTTAGGTGCATCTTTTTCCCCAAACCAGTATTCATCTTAGGGTAGGCCTATTAGCAAGGAAGTGTTTCTTTTTTTCATTTATTTTAAACCTTGTAAGTTGAATTTTAATAAAAATTAATGAAAATTTTTTAATGTTCTTCATATTACCTTTAACTATATCGATTGCCAGATATGTTTATTACTTGATTAATGCTCAGTGAAGTACAGGAAATTTATCAAACATATTGTATAGATCCAACAATCTGTCGATTCTTTTAGTCCAGTGTTGGCGTTGGGATTTCCCAAATTCAAAGTGATATCACCAGGCTTAAGGTGAAAACTCTTGGCAAAACCCATACTGCTAACCCAAAATTAACTGGAATGGGCCTATGCCTATAGTTGATATTAAGCAACTATGGTTATTATTTAGCCCATTTAAGGCTATGTTTAACTAAAGAAACATCAATTTAGAACAATTAGCCAAAACTCTCTAAATAGTAGGCAACATACTCATACTGTTATATAGTAGCCACAATGATGTAACTAACATACTGACTACATTACATACATTAATGTATAGTAAAATTTAACCTAGGCCTACTACAATTACATGTCCAGACATGGCACGGACTCAATACAAATTAAACTTTTAATAAGCTTAGGGAAAATTACAAATACATTTGGCCTCAGTTGTATAACTGATTTCACTAATACTAATAATAGACTAGTAATACAAACAATACAGCATTAACATGCCCAAGTGACTAAACCGTTAAAAACTTAACAATGGCAAAGTTAAAAACTTAACAATGGCAAAGTCAAAGTCTTCACAAACAATTTAAATAGATTATTGTAACAGTAAAATATAACATACTTCACACATAAGTCATAGAGGTACAAATGAGACAGGTTACCAATCATTTATTTACCAATGATGAGACAATACTATTGTTTTAGACTATACTAAAAAAAAAATGCCTCGGGTGCCATGACTTCAAATTGAAAATCAAATATGTAGAGTGTGGAGATATGCTCATATTCATATGAATCAAAGAGTGCTTTTCCGTTTGTCAAATAGACATGCTAGTATGAAGTAGGCCTTGGCCTTAGCTTTAACTTTAGGCTTTAGTTTAGGACTAATGTAGGGGTGGTCTTGATCTTACTGTTGAGTTTTTGCTGTAATAATAGGTTTAATAGCTGTAACTAAGGTAAATAACTGAAAATACACATCACATTTGTTAATTATTTATGAAATAAAGGGTTTAGATACAAGTTTTTATATAGTTTGCATCAGACCCAAAAGTTTCTAGTTCCCTCCCAAGTAGGCGATGCGCTTGCGGCTACTTGACAGACAAATCGCCAATCGGAATGTGGAAAGTCCACATCTAGTCAGGATAACGATATCAATCTGGACGTTTATGTGAGATTTCGCAAATACCTTTCATCAATGTGATTTTTTTAAATTGGAGAAATGTTCACTAAGTTATAAAAATAATGCACTTTCTGCTATTAGATATTTTTACAGTTCTATTATTTTATTTGCGGGTCATTGCCTTAGTCTTAGCTCAAAAATTCAATCGCAGAACAAAGATCGACTACCCTTGACAGGGTTAAAAAAATTGAAGGCAATAAAGTATATTAATATACTTACGCAGGCCCGTTCTCGTGGGTAAAAAAATTTTCCAACAAAATGATAGTGGAAAATTAAAAAAATATAGACCGATGGCTATGATTTTTACAGATTATAAATGGCTTTCTGCCCTATCTCAGTGCTACCAAAATGGCGAGCACAATAAATGAATATGCAAATGAGCTTTTGGTGACGTCGTTTCCCAGACTCCTTTGCGCGAGATCGTTACAAAGAAAAGTATAAACCATCAGTCTTAGGATTTAGGAATTTATAATATAGGTCTATCATTTGACTTGTATTAAAATAATATGAATAATAAAATAAATAGCAATTCTATACCTAGGTAGCATTCTCGTTTATTTTTAGTTGGCTATTAACAATTAGGATTTTGTCTTATTCTGACGTACTTTACTTTGAATGCAGAAAATATAGACATAGACTTGAACACTAAAAAAAGTGGGGTGGGGGAAGGGGGGGGGGGGTCGCGCAAGATTTAACTTACTTTATACAAAATAAAATTAGCTAACGCAAGAAAGTTAATAATAATGCTGGAACAAACCAAGTTAGCATTCGGAAGCACAAACCCTTTCCAGGGGGGGGGAGGGGGGGGGGGGGTCGCGCAAGATTTAACTTACTTTATACAAAATAAAATTAGCTAACGTAAGAAAGTTAATAATAATGCTGGTACGAACCAAGTTAGCATTCTGAAGCACCAGCCCTTTCCACCTCCTGTGCAAACGTTTAGTGTGGATGACAAGTTATTGACAACACTGCGTCACTGGAGAAACCTCCCCCAAGGGGCTGTTGAGAGACTAATTAGAATATATACATTTTAATTTTTTTAATGCTTCCTCTATTTTTTAGTATATAGTATAACCAATGCACTTGTTGTTTCCCCACGCATAAACCTACATCAATAAAAAAAAATTATATTCGGGTTGTAGTTTCAAAGGATTGTAAATTTTACCCAAACTTTCCGCTGTCAGTCTTTACAAAAAACAAAGCTTGATCTTCCATGACGCAGTTGTTCTCCGCTAGTAGCACGCCCCCGCGTGTTTCGCTTTCAAAGTTTTAATCGCAGCCCTAAGTGCGCCATTTTCACGCTTTATAGTGTTCCTTTTCTTCAAATTTCTCTGGGTTTCTATGTTCAAATAAAGGGCTATGGTACCCAGGACTTGAATTTATTGAGTTTCTAATTAAACAATTCTTAAAACTGTATTGCCACTAAACTCACCACACGGCTACATATAGTTTGATAATTAGGTCCTAAAGCAGTGGTTCTCAACCTTCCTAATTCCGCGACCCTTCAATACAGTTCCTCATGTTGTGGCGACCCCCAACCATAACATTTATTTCCTTGCTACTTTATAAATGTAGTGTATATGTGTTTTCCGATGGTCGTAAGCGACCCCTGTGAAAGGGGCGTGCGACCCCCTAAAGGGTCACGACCCACAGGTTGAGAACCACTGTCCTAAAATAACAAAAGACATGCGAATATAATATGACATACTTCCGTCTTCGTGAGACAATTGAATAGCCCATCTTCTGCCTTTTTTACTCCTTGACTCTATTTTGGTGGCACTCACTCTGGTGGCACGCTGTCTGGTGGCACTCTATTTTGGTGGCACGCTGTCGGGTGGGGATCTATTTTGGTGGCACTCAGTCTGGTGGCACACTGTCTGGTGGCACTCATTCTGGTGGCAATCTGTCTGGTGGCACTCAATCTGGTGGCATGCTATTTTGATGGAAGTCTGTCTGGTGGCACCTTGTTCTTGTATTTATTTACAATCGTATGAAACCAACCCGAGGGAGCTTTGTCAAATTTGAAATGTTCCATAAAAAAAAAAAAATCTGGGGAGTCCGTAGGAGTACAATTATTTGTTCAACTTCATTGCTTGAGTTCAACTTATTATATATTCATTATTAAGTGCAACTCAAAACTTAAAGAAATGCGTTACAAGAGACTAAGGTTACATGGGCGCCCTCAGAAAACTTTCTAGGGGGGGGGGGGCAAAAAATCGATTAACTTTCCGGGGGGGGGGCAAAAATTTTTTAGTAATGTTTTAATATAGTTTTAATTTACTGTAGTGCATTTGTATGGTGAACGAACGGACAGGACATCAGCTTAGTTACTTTCTCTTTATTTTCTATTTACTTTAATAAATTTTGTGTCTAATTTTGTAAAAAAAAAATTATCCAATCAATCCAGGGGGGAGCAAGTGCCCCCTTGCCCCCCCCTGCGGGCGCCCATGTAAGGTTATAAAACAGGCTCATGGTCATGGCATAACATCATAAAACTTAGTCATAAGGATAAAGACATGATATAGACCTGATATAGACATGAGATAGGCATGATATAGACATGATATAGGCTAGACACAATCAGTGATTATTTCAGAAATTTCCCCCGGGGGGGGGGCACTTCAGATTTTTCGGGGCGGGGGGCGCAAGGCAGTGCTAGCAGTGCCATTTGATTTATTGTTGGACATATTTTTGCTCCAGGAGGCACTTGGCTTTCCACAAGGGGGCGGTGCCCCCCTCCCCCGGAGATATAGCTGAAAGAAACCCTGGACACAATCAAACTGTTTTTTTGTTGTTGTTGTTGTATTTAGTTTTATAGTTTCAACAAATTTATTCTAAACTTGTGTCGATAATAATGTGGAAATTTAGAATATTTGTACGTAATTGTTATTTTAAAAAGTTAGCCACACTGGGTGTCACCAACGTTCCCTTTAAGCTGCGCAAATTTCCCATGTGAGGGTGTCATCCGTCCTATAGTGACACCCCCCCCCCCCACCAAGAAGTTCGAAGCCTAGTTGCTCTGCCATGGGTTAATACAGCACTGATGATACTTGTCACCTTTTAAAATTAGGGAAATAGTAAAAACCAATGAAATATCGATATGCTCGATATATTTTCATGATCCGGGTATTAGAGTCAAATCTAGAATCTAAATACCGTATTTTTTTGAACGTATAGACTGCTCCTGATTGTACGCTGCCCCCTAACCTGCTATACCGGTAGTTTCTTATTCTATTATTGTGTGGGACATAGACATAACTATGTTAAAGACTTACATTATGGGGAAAAGACAATAGACGAGACATATTTAAACTACTTTTCCATCGCTATAAAAGACAATATTTTAATATGTTGAAATAGTTCTTGCTAAGTAGCAACGCTTGGCACAAAATGTTTTTGGTTTCAACTTCTTCACCAAAATGAGGTCATCTTTTTAAATAGGACACGTTGTTGATTGTAAAATGTTGGTGCTGATACAATTTTAATGATTATAAATATGTTTAAAGGTATGTTGACATTTCCTACAAAACAATATTGTGGCCGTCCATATTGTGGCCGTCCATTGTCACCAATTGTCAAATTTTCAAACAATTGTGTTAACCCCTTCACCTCATTTGTTTTAACCCTTAATCCCCAAAGATAATCAAAATATAAATACATACATTTTTAACTAGGCCTATTTCTTCACCGGCCCCGATAAAGATGACAGTGTCGCAAAATGACAGTGTCACCGCTTTTTTTTTTTTTTTCCTTTAAAAAAAATGCCTGTGCATGTTAAGATGAATGTCTTGAACTAAAAAAAAAAAAATCAATTAGTTCCTTTCAAATTTGTATAGCCTCTATAGATTTCAGGGATGAAACTTAGCTGTGGCAAAAGGCATACCCTCAGGAATGAAGTTGGTTTATGGTGAGTAACGGGATATTTCCATCTAGCCCTGGTCAACATTATGCCTAATGTTAGCGCTGAAAGATGATCTCATGGCCATGCCAACGAAAAGTGGCGCCCGGGACAAAGCCTGGAATGTATGGAGAAAAGTTCCTGAAATAAAAAGACGATTTTGGCACCCCCTTCTACTTGATTTTGGCACCCCCTTCTACTTGATTTCATCTTTTAATTCACCTTAACTCTTAAGGTCCGACCTAAAGACAACTGTCGCATGGCCCTGTATGCTTTGCTTTGCCCAGTGGCGCAGCTAGAGTTAGCACCCCAATGCGCGGCTAAAAAAATTTTCTCACATTAAACGATTAAAAAAAAACCCTTTAATTGGCCGAAAATGCCACTCTTCTATGAAATGAAAAACAGTACCACCTGTACAACCATTTCATACGCCACCGACCACCCGAACATCTGAAATGCCACCAACCCCATGTCAACTCCTTGCTCTACCGGGTTGGTTAATCCGTCAGTTTCTTTTACACGTTGATTACGTCGTACTGATATTGAACAACTCAAGTCCTTCATCATTAATAAGTTCAACTTTAATATCATATCATTAACAACTTTAATATCATATCATTAACAACTTTAATATCATATCATTAACAACTTTAATATCATGTCATTAACAACTTTAATATCATATCATTAACAACTTTAATATCATGTCATTAACAACTTTAATATCATATCATTAACAACTTTATTATCATATCATTAACAACTGTAATATCATATCATTAACAACTTTAATATCATATCATTAACAACTTTAATATCATATCATTAACAACTTTAATATCATGTCATTAACAACTTTAATATCATATCATTAACAACTTCAATATCATATCATTAACAACTTTAATATCATATCATTAACAACTTCAATATCATATCATTAACAACTTCAATATCATATCATTAACAACTTTAATATCATATCATGAACAACTTTAATATCATATCATTAACAACTTTAATATCATATCATTAACAACTTTAATATCATATCATTAACAACTGTAATATCCTATCATTAACAACTTTAATATCATATCATTAACAACTTTAATATCATATCATTAACAACTTTAATATCATATCATTAACAACTTTAATGTCGTATCATTAACACTCCATACACACATGCCTGGATAGCGCAACTCGCTATCGCCTGGAAGAAATACACCCTACCTCCACACAGTTCCATTCAACACTGCCGCGCAATTCAAACTTACGTCATCAATCAGTCTAGATCATTTGTCTCCAAGATAATTAAGGGTGGGAAGAGGATACACTACTTATACAGCTGTCAAACACACCACGCGCAATTTCTTATTCAGTCGCAATAATGACTAATTAACTCCCATACTGGACACCCCACTCGGTAAAAAAAAAACTGACTTACACACTGACTATATTATTTAAACGGAACACCTACT